AAGTTCTAACTCCCAATTGAACATTAGGCTTTTGTCATGGCACCACCTAAGTTCTAACTCCCAATTGAACATTAGGCTTTTGTCATGGCACTCCTGGGGAGTCTCAATCACCCTCTGGGCAGCAAAGGCAGCAGAAATAGTCCCAAGTCGCTGGTCAATAGGCCCGTGTGTGTGGCCTACCTGCCCAAAAATGTGTGTACAGCTTCGCCACCTGAATTACCAGGCCAGTGAAACAGTAGCAACACAATTTTGGTTCAAAAACAAACCAAATAGAAAGTACAAAACCCTGATAAGGCAGCACCACCAATAAATATTAAGGGCTTAGGTGTTCAAAGGTTGGAGACCATTGGGAAGCCAAGGAACCGATTGTTCACAATTCCAACAGCATTCATCTTCATCATAATTTGGTTTTTCCCCTCACGGGGGCAATTGTCCGTCTGCAGGGGTCAGGGTTTTGTTTGGAACACATGGTTGAATCTTCATTGTTGCTATCAACATAACTTCCAATGCAGTGTGTCTTAACACAAAACAGCTACTGCCCCCCGTTGTTCATCCTTAGTAGGCACCTCCAGGATCAAATGCTCAGGAAGCGATTTCCCTTGACGGGCCAACTCCTCCTCAGCCCAATCAATTGCTTTGAGCAGCACTGTCACCTCCGCTGAGGAGTTGTTGGCAATATCAGGCTCAAGGAGCAGATATCCTTCCAGCACCTGGGACAGAAGGTTTCTGCCAAAGAGGATGGTGTAAGAGCTCTCAATGATTTACCACAGTAAACTATTAGGAAACCAGGAAACCATAGATATACAAAGACTTGTTGAAGTATTTCCCAGTGACGCCCCACACGATAACACCCACACAGTGCAGCTGTGGGCGCCATGCAGCAGCTAGAGTTTTGCTACTGTCAAGGTTCCTGGGAAACCGTGTTTTGTTCTGGTCTAGGCCGTCGATGTCAATCTTCAAGATGTTGGAACCCTCTGTTTCGCTCAAAATATTCAATCGATTCTGAATGAGGCGATATTGCTGGACGTTGGTTAAATGCTGGCGCTGGTTGTCTTCCAGCTTGGACCGCTCCAACTCTGCTGTTGCTCGCCTGCACCTGGCACTGAACTCTGCACAGATGGAGCACCTATCAGGGCAGCCAACAAGAGAGTGAAAGCCAAAGATCAAAGACCTTTCTTAATGTTTCTTATTTGTTAAAAGTCAAGCTTTTGAGAGGACCCTGCACCGTGCATGCTGTGACACTGTGCGCATCCGCAGTTTGCCCTTCCATGTCGATTCATATACTTCACGGAAGCAACGGGAACTTGCAATCTCATCTTCTGGCACAGCAGCCCCCTGGCACCACAGCATGTACATCTCGTGGAAAGATTCAATAGTCATATGAGTCATGTACCGCGGCTGCAAGCCTTGGACAAAGGAGAGCACCCACAAAGTTTGGTCCAAGTTTTGGGTGAACACTATTAGTGTTGGGAGAGGGCAAAGAGGGAGACAGCTTTTCCAACAGCAAGCCCAAGAACCCTCACGCATAGTAGCAGCAAGTGGAGCGCTTCCATTCAAAGATGCCAAGGCTGCCTCTGAGTGGACTACCTGCCCTTGGAAGAATGAAGGCGGCAACTCTGAGGATGTCTCACCTGGGAGGGACCAGGGTGCAAGGGCAACCAGGTATCAAGTAGGCATGAGATTGGGCGTAACAGTATTTGATATGTTCCCCACAAGTCAATCTTGAAGCTCTTTTTCAGCTGCAGTTTCATTGAACAGAATCACATAAAACTTGCTTGTCTAGTGGTTCAAGGGGCTTGGCAAGAAAATGCCAGATGTGCACATTGCAGCTCCTTGAAGTTCTTCAAGCGGTGGCGTTTCAGCCAAGGGTTCTGCCTAGCAAGGGTCTTGCAGCAGAGTCACTACAAAAAATGAGAAACACACAGGTTGCCACCCTGATTGATCACTTTGGTTCAGTCTGATTTTGGTTGGTGCTGAACAAAATAGTTACCAATCTAAGGGCAAGGATCAAAGTGCCAGTAAAAGTATGTGAAGTAGGCATCTGCACTTGCACTCTTGGCCGTTGGCGTACGCCCATTGAACTTCCTTTGATCCACTGGCACTGAGTTTGAAGAGATGCCAGGAAGCAAGCGCAAGACCTTATGATGGCATTGGTTTTGGAGAAGTGGTGGAACCAACACCATAGGTATTGAACAATCTACATAAAACCCAATACTCCTATATTCCCTGATCACGACCCTGCCATCCATACTGTTCAGGGCAAGCACAGCATTCCTTTTCTTTACCCAGCCACCCTCTTCTCGTTGACACCAAGAAGGCCACAAAATGCTGAGCGGCACAGTGGGAATCCACACAAGGCATACTTCAGATTCAGGTTTGTAGCCTGATAGCTAGACTGGACTGGTCAAAAGTAAGCTGGAAGTTCTCCCCTACACCACTTAGGCACCAAAACAAAAACAATAAAGTAGGCTTCAAGTTCTAGCTGCATCATCAGAGTCAGACATAAGCTTTTGCAGCATTCCAAGCACAAAGCGGTTGGTCTCCTCCTGGTTCAGGTCCTTCATTTGCGCCCGGATGTCCTGTGGGCATTGCATGGCAGAGCAGAAGTGCTTTGGCTATGGTGGTGATGTCACATGACTTTGATATGATCTTCTATTCTTATTTCCAATCTCTGTAGGAAGGGTATAGGCAGCAAGTGTGTTTGTGTGTGTGTTCACCAACCATGTCCTCAATCATCTTGACTCTGCCAGAATTGGCCCGGTAGTGGTGAACACACAATTTTGAGCAGCACTTCCATGGTTTCTCAGCAGAGAGCCTGATTCTGAATGTGAGAAGATCTAAAGATTGAGAGGCTAGTCAGCTAGTCCCCTTGAAACAAATACATGTTCTATGTCGTGAGGGTTCATTTTAATATGATGTCGACATAGATTAAACAAACACAAAGTAAACTAACAACCTAATGAACATTACAGAACAACACTTGTGTACAGTTTACAATATGTCACTCTGATATGGAGTTGGGACTGTGCTAATACAAAGGCCAAGAAACGCATCCTCCAAAAACTCAAGGCGCTTTCGAGCTGGGGTCTTGAGAGGAGGATCCGGGATGGCCTTGTGGGTCATCTCTAGGAGATTTGGGCCTGCATGGATCTCCGGCCCCTGCTCATCATCTGAGGGCAACTCCATGGCAAGCAGGTGAACCGCCCTAAACAAGAAAGGCCCTTGGCAACAGATGTAATGGATCAAAACACTAAGTTTTTACATTGGGTTGGCATGGTGGGTGGAGATCTTTGAGGTAGGATGACAGCAGCATTCCCTGTTGCAAGCTCTTTGGGCCACACATCTTGCATGCGATGTCGCGTGCCCATCTGAAAGCAGCATATGTGGAGGTGATGACATGGGGCCTTCCCCCTACAAGTTCTACACTATTTGCATAGATTTGTTTTACACATTCTCCTGTTGGTGACTTCAACATGTGGGGAGGAGTCCAAATCCTGGTACACAGCATGTGGATCCAGCATGTGGTTCCAGTGCCCATGCACCCACTGGCACTGGGAGCCCAGGCGAGAAGGGCCGCTGCAATGGCCGCTCCGCTGCTGCTGGCAGCTGCTGCTGCCCCCCCCCCACACTGCCCGGTGGAAAAGGTTTGACCACCCATTGGAACGGGGCAGGATGGGGCAGGGCTCTCTGGAATTAGATACCATGGAAGTCAAGGAAAATGACCATCCAAAGGATTATGTTCCTTCCAGGGAGTACTGCCTCCAGCTCAGAATGCCCTCCCAATTCAAATGAAATCAATCCATGATCAAGCGCAAAACTTTATGAACAAATTGGTCGTATACGTTTTTATACGGTTTGCATACGGCCTGTATACGGTCGTGGTTCGAAGAATATACGGTCGTTTCAACAAAATACGGTCGTGGTTCGAAAAATATACGGTCGTTTCCAGAAATATACGATCGTATACGATTTCACAAATCAACTGCTTGATATGCATTGTGCATGATGTAATATTTGAACATCATCATAATTGACAAAAATACGGTCGTTTAAGAAAAGACCATTTTTTAAGGTCGTTTTAAACATATACGGTCGTTTGAAGAAACAACCAAAAAAAGGTGGTCGTTTCAGGTTGCAGGTTCTGTAGATGTTTGGTCCTTGGACTTTGAAGTACCGGGCACTTCTCGTTTTCGCTCCAGGCACCATAGCTCGGTCACGGAGCGAGCCGAAGCGCCCGAGTGGGGATCGTCCCAGTGGATGGGTCCGAACGGAGGAGGAAGGAATCGAGAAGACGGGCCATGGCAGGGGTGTGCACAAAAAAATCAATACCAAACTATTACACGTCCCGAGTCAACAGAACATAGACCCTGACGATGGTCTGGTCCCAATTCGAAGAGGATGTTCCTCTAGCAACCAGGGGTGTTCAGGTTCCGATCGTCTTCCAGGGTGTAAACATTGGTCCCCTAAGAATCCAGGCCCTCACCATCAAATAGGCAAGCCGTGGCGGGCTGCGTTTCGGTGGAAAGGGTCCGACCCCTGGCCGGGCCCGAGCTCGGATTCTGGTACACTCGAGACGATGTGATGGTAGGGGCTTAGAGGGGTTTTTGGAGTTGTAAAGCGGCTCAGATGGGCTCAGATGAGTTGTTTTGATAGTATTTGATAGTTGGAATTTCGCTTTCTTTTTTGATTACAAGTTCTTTCAGCAGGGTCGGTTCAAGGGATGTTTTATACTGTATGAAGATTGCTTTCCCTCCAGTATGCAAAAGCCTCAATAAACGAAGAGAAAGGACACCAAAAAGAAACACATGGAAACACCTTCATCTTCACAACTCTTCAGTGTTTTTTAGATCTGCAAAGATTGGCCGAAACTGGCCGATCTTCACCGCTCCCTTGTGGGACCGACGAGGTCGGGTTTTTGCCAAGCTTTGAACTTGGCTGAGAGTCGGCTCTTGCTGGTCCTGCAGGCCGCTGGCGACTCGGTTCGGTCGGGGCTCGGGGTTCGGTCTCGGCTCGGGAGAAAGAAAGGCGAGATGAGACGAGACGAGGTGGTTGGGACCCCAAAGTGGAAAAAGGGATGAAGAAAAGGGATGATGAGAGGTCAGAAAGGGAAAGAGATTGCCTTTCGTTCATGCATCCGCCAATCATAGAATTTTGGACTTGATTCTTGTTTTTGCTGGCGTTCCAGTCTTTGCAACCGTTCGTTTCGTTTGCCTAATTACAACAAAAATTCAGTACCAAGATCCAGAAGTCACAGCGTGACATTCGGCTCTCCGTGCTTCTTATTTTTGCGGCATCGGCTGCTTGCCTCGCAAAGTTGCACGGGCTCTCGACTCTGGTCAGTCTCTGCTGCGCTTGACGAGTCAAGCCACTGAACGATTGCAGGTCGCATTCAGCATGCTCAACCCCCCCTCACCCTCCCATTGGCTGTCAGACTCTTCGACCTACGAACGCATGCACGTGGACTTCCCAATGACTTTCCTGCAGAAGTGAGATACAGATCCGGGACTTCCAAATGTTGTGCCCTTGGCCTCCAGGACGTTGAGGCCACCGAGGCAGTCTCCCCCTTCGGACGCTTGTGGTGCATGTTTGAGGCACAGCACGCCGGACGCGCGCGTTTTCACGCGTGTCCCGCGCGGCGGACCGGAGACGGCAGCTTTTTTCGGATGCCTCAAGGGATGCTGACAGGGGCGGATGTGAGATGCAGTCGATCTAAGAAGTTGGGACACGGCATAGACCTTTAGGCAATTGATCAGATGGTGTCCAGCAGATGTTATCTCTTTGGAAACTGTTTTTGTTGGTCCATCGGTCCGTGCGGCAATGTTATAGGAGCCAGCTAGGATGTAACCCTAGATTTTGTACCAGAAAACATTCCTTGATGGGGTGAGCTTAGAGGCATGCTTTGGCACTATTCCTTTGAACAGCCGGTGATTCCCTGCTCTTGCGGCTTGCGATTCATCTCTGAAAAGGTTCTCCAGAGCCTGACAACTGGCACTGCACGTGGACTGACGAGAACTCCCTTGGATGTGGCTGTGCTACACTCAGCACTTGGCTGGTTGTTGATTCTTTACGGACGGCTGGTGCGGGGCTACCACCAAAAAGAAGTGTAAGGCCATGACTGCAAAGTAACTTTTTGAATTTCATATGGAGATAGGGTGTAGCAATAGCATCAATATCATCTAACAGTCAAACACCACGCCGCTTGGGGCCGTCTCTTCCAATCTCAGTCGGATGTTTTTCAACGGCGTCCGGGATCGGCCTGAACACATCCGAACATTGTGTTGGCAGGAACGTCTAAGAACATCCAAGACCCCCAGACAAATCGATGGGTGGTTTTTGGATGGAAACTCAGTGAGACTTGGTCAATGAACATTGTGTTTTGGGGGGGTCAGGATTTGTTTCAGATGTACACAGGTTTGGTGGATGGCTTGACCGTTTCAGTATGTTTGACCCACCTCGGAATCTCAGCAGCTCGTTCCCGAGCTGCTCGCAGCTCACAGGTTGGGTTTCAGCAACCCTTCGGATGCTCGGCCACCTTCGGTTCCACCAACTCGGCCACCCGCTGCTAGTCACACAGGTCCAGTTTCTGGGTTCCACCCCCCCCCTGGGGAGTCCGAAACCGCTTCGTCGCGCGTCTCCACGTCGAACCTACCACGTTCTCTGATCGTTCGGAACCGGTGCGCTCAGGTCTTTTCCAAGAACCAGGCCGAACCGACCGGCACCGGTGACCGCCGTTCGCGTCGCGTGGCTCGGCGGTGTCCGTTGCGAAAGGAGCGATGGGGTTCCAACCAAATCACATCGAATATTCCATCTAATCATCTAATATCATCCCCTAGGGATCCAAGTACCTCAGAAGGTACGACTGGACCCTCCAAAGCTACATAGCAGTGTCGAACACATCACCTTCTGAGAAGGTACTCCCTATAAGGGATCTATTATCATCTTATCACCCGGGTTTCTTTTTGGATTCGCACCACCCCACAACCAACCGTCCGCACGAAATCTCTGGCCAGGCCACCATCATGACCTACGGCCTCACGGACGCAGAAGAGGCGCGAACGTCCATCCGCAGGTACTGAGCAAGTCGTGAAAGGGACCTTCAGCCCTAGAAGTCGAACAACCCTATGGTTTTACATGGTCTTTAGCAAAGAACCATTGTTTTATACTTTTTACTGAGGGCTTTACATGGTTTTCCACTACAAAACCAGATCAACCATTCCTTTAATGGTCTTGTACTTCCAGGGTCAGGATCCTTCAGGTACTGAGCCAGCCTTGCTGATGGCTGTGGAGGGCTAGGACTATGGGGGCCCGGGCCCCGCAGGCTGATCCATTCTCATCCTTCCGAGGTTTCAGCAGACGGCACAAAGCCAAATGGCCAAGGGCCACAACAACAACTGTTCACAGCACAGTTCACAAGCTGGAACTGTCCACGTTTGCTTAATAAATGTTTCACTTCGCATGCCATTTGTTCACCGACCTAGTTGGTCTTTGAGGTTTCTCGGTAGCCCCGGCATGGTGGCGAGAGGAAGAAAAACAGGGGAGAATCCAGGGCATGAATAGAGCTAGGAAATGTCCAACATGGGTAGAATCGGAAGTTGAAACTTTTTGAAACATGTTTGAAACTTCTTCAATCATTTCAATCTTCCTCCATGAGCAATTCGAGGTGGAGTGCTGTGAAGGCGTGTGAGGGCCCCAATTCGAAGGAGCTCAAATCTGCACCTGGAGCCTGCCACCAGGTCACCAGAGGCTGCATACATGATTCTAGACAAGGTCTTTCACTTCACTCCGCGCTCCAAAAATCTTCAATCCCCTTCCATCCACCGCAAAACCTTCATTACGGCCCACGCTATATCGACGCCAAAAAGCCGGGAGAACGGCACGCACGCTTGGCCAGGCCAAGGACTGTCGATATCCTGGCAGCGGCCTTGCCGAGAAAGCCGCCCGCGAGAAGGACGAAAGCCGGTTGGGGATCGGGCCGGATCCATGGCCCCCCCCAAAAAACATGGTAAAATGGGGGGTGAACTGGGGAGTTTGGGTTCATCAATCACCTCGTTGAATTTTCTTGGCTCTTGAAAGTTTGTGTTGAGCCTTTGTCGTTTTTCTGGGGTCTTGTTATGCGTGTTTTAGGCTCATAACGTTCACTTCATTGTTTGGATTGAATGAAGGGGATAATTGTTGAGGTGGTCAGAGTTTCTATGTGTAGGTTCAGGTTCAAATTCTACCAAGTTGTTCTTCAAAGATGTCGAATTGTTTGCTTCAAATGTATTGATTGAGGTTAGGCGCTGTGGTTCCTGTTTGGTTTTGCATATCAAGCATCCTTCAATCCAAAGCCAGTCTGGCACAAATTGACTGAACCGATATATTGTCCTTTTTCTTTGACATTCTGCAGATGCATCTTTGTGAGGCAGGTTCAGCTTGCGCCAGGCCGGTTCGTCCTTCCAAGCGGTCATGCACGAACGCAACCCGCGAGGGCTTCTCCGGCGCAGACCATCAAAACTGGTTGCTGAACCCGAAAACTGAACAAGCCCCCAAAAAACTACTTAAATAAAAATTACATATATATATATATATTAAGAGATGCTATTTACTCATGGAAACTGTAGATGTTGTAAAAATTAGATTGCCAACGTCAAGGTTGTATTGAACAGTCTTTTCCCTGCAGGAATTTGTGACATGATATGTAATTACAACACCCACTGCTTCACATGTAATAACTTAATCTTCAAGGAAAAGGAATACATCAGAAGCGCCCACGACTGACATACAACAGTGGAAAAGCAAATAGATTTCTTCCAAACAGAGATGCCATCACCCATTTTTTAAGTGATACTAACCGAACAAATGTTAGAGCGATGAGAAGGGAAATAGACGTGTTGATGGACACTTTAGGACTGAAGGTCAGGTTTCAACACGATAAAATGTTTCTACATGTTCTACAAGCAATCAAGTCATACGTAAAGAAGAAGTGGAAATATACGTATCACATCCTCTATTACTTTCACGACCTTGATTTTATGAATTGGGGTAGAAAGACACGACGATGGTGGTTTCCTGACCTTTGAGGGACTTATGTTTTTAGAAACCGAGCACTCATAATAAAGGACATCTTGGAAATCTTCTTGCGGGAATACCTCAAAGAACTTTTTAGATACTATGAGCACTACATCAACGAACCAGAAATAGAAGAGCACCTAAAAATATATAAACACTTAGAGAACATATCTATATTATGTACTATAAAAAACTTTAGGGTTGTATATTGAAGTTGGTAGTGATAGTGAGGGTGAAGACTGGGAACAGAAAGAAATAGAAAGGGAAGAAGAAAAGCACATTATGGACTTCATCAAGAACAACCCCTTTCCAGACAGAGATACAGATACATTTATAGACACACAGTTAGAGACAGTGAGAAAAGACAAATCAACAGGCATTAAGGTCATCGGAACGACTTATGATTATAGGATATTGAAAAAACTATATGAAAACATCGTGAATAAGGATAGTCCGAGAATGCGGTAGAGCACTATATGAAAAGGATGGTATGCGTGATATTGTGAGATGTCATACCTTATTTAATCCAATCATACACTATAACTGGTTGAACACTACTGGGATGGAATAGGAATGTGGAAAGCGTAAAACACGATTAATTCATAATATTTTAATTAAACATATTATGAACTAATCCTTAAACCAAAACCCCCACTAAAAAACACAACAACCTAAGCAAATTTTAACCCCATCCATGATCACCGAACAGAGTGATTTTTAGCACCAAATTTTCCCCAGAAACCCCATAGAGAATAACGACAAAGGCTCAACACAAATTGTTAGTGAGCAAAAGAAATCAATGAGGTGGTTGATGAACAAGAACTCCCCAGAACCTTCATTTTACCATGTTTTTTCCCCGCGGATATGTTTGGGAGATGGATAGAGATGGTGTTCGTTTTGGAGGCGTTCGCATCATGTTCGGACACAAGATCACGTGTCGGGCACGGCCTGAGTGACGCGTTGCGGTGGTTTTGCGGTCTTGCGAGTCCCGAAGTTTGCTAAGTGACGCATGGTCTGCAGGTAAGGGAGCCTCCAGATCCGCAGGTGCAGGAAGGGAGCCTGCCACTGCATGCCAACATCAAAATATGACCCCATGTTTGAGTCAGGGCTACTGGGAAACCCTAGGTCTTGGCATGTTTGGGCAAATCACTGACTTAGGCTGTTTTTTTCCATGTTCGATCAAACCCACAAGCGTTTTGGTTCAGGTCACTGAAACCAGCAACCCGCGCCCGCCCAAAACATCCAGCAAACCTCGCACCGTTCAGGACTTCCCTTTAGATGCCATCGCAGCCAGTTTGCAACAGAGAGTGGAATTGGCCAAGATGTCCTGGGAGGAGGAGCGCTAGTTCCAGCGTATTTTCAGCGCTCCCTCCCAGCAGCGCCATCCCGCAGCCTCCAAAGCCCTCCAAGCTACGGCCATGGATTTGCCAGTTGCTGGTTGTTTTGGCAGATGGATTCACGAAGAGGTTTGTGTTCTTCTTTCGGGTCTTGATGTTCAACACACTTTTGGGATGATGCACCAAGAGTTCTCCATGCACATCACACCCGTGGCCTTGGAGATGCTGGCGGTCCGTCCTTCAGCGCTCTTTTGCTTGGCTTTGAAAGGGAGGGGGGCCAGATGTTGGGGGGAAATGGGCGGGTGCCACAGGGCAAAGCAGCTGGTTTTTTGGGGGGGTCGATCATGTGCTGAGAGAACTTGAGAGAATGAGAATCACTGATCCGCTGGTCGTCTAGTATCATCAAACAACACAATCAACACATATATTATATCATATATGTATGCTCGAATGAAGCTCTCAAGGCACCTCCCTCCAACATGGAAGTGGAATTCACCGCCTTGTCGGTAAAGAAGAAACCTTTAAGTGTGGCTGCCGTTCGTCTAATCACATCCACACCATGTCATGTATTTTTCTCAGTTGAGTCTGGAATTCGAAAAAAAAAAAAAAAAAACATATGTATTTGCCTCCTGCCAGAAAATGAATCATCGCTGAACCTACTCCTCTTGCCTCCAAAGCCCTCATCTGCGCGCACGGAAATCCAACGCGGCAAGCCGCGTTGGCAGGACCGCTTTCATTTGCTCCAGCTCATGGGGGTGGAGGAGCCGGTGCTGAGCAAACGCATAACTCACGTCGGATGGACCGATGGAAAACCGAGACGTGGGCGCGGCAGGCGTGCGGGCGGCAGGCGGCGTTTGAGGGTCCAGTCTCTGTTGACGGACTGAGAGATCTCGCTCATCTAGAAAAGGCGACAGCCGCAGGTTTGCTGGGAAGAAGGATCTCGGGGATATTACGACATGATTGCTGTGACTTTCTAGTCAAAAGGGGTAACCGTTTGTGTGAGCCACAGCCGTGGATGAAAGCCGAGCACCGTGTGACAACGAGTGACAACATTCATCAAGATACTAAGACAAGGGCACAAAGTCCTTTCAGAAGCACCAACATTTCATGAATGTTCATGACTCACACGCTTTGATGCCCGGTAAAGTGACTCGGTCCCAAACCTTGAAGATAATTCGGCTGGGAACTTGGTTACATTTGATCATCCAAGCGCTCCCGGAGTGTAAAAGTCTAGACAAGGAGAAGAAGCGTCAACCGAAAACGGTCCCCTGAAAAGGAAAGAAGAAGAAGAAGAAACATGTTGTGACATGTTTTAGAAAATGCAGCTTCAGAATGGCCAAGCAGAGTGTCACCATCCGGAGGAAGCTTGATACTTGAAGAGCATGAACATTGAATCAACCAGCCAAGCCTCAAGCATGCTTCCAGATCTCCACACGGCAAAGTGGGCCAGAGTTGTACCAGTTCCACAACTTCAGTTCCACATCAGACACGTTCCATGAGAGGCTGCAGAGCCGGCACCCGGAAAGGCCGCCCCCTTTTGCGCAGGATGGCACGATGAGCACCGACAGCTGTCAGGTGGTGAACACAAGGCGACTGGCTGCTGCGGTCGTTTTCGCAATCTGCCCTACGTATAATGGAATCTACTAGGGGCTCCTGGCATCGCTACTAGGGGCAAGGACGCTACTAGGGGCTCCTGGCCTTGCTACTAGGAACAGGAAGCTACTAGTAACAAAGGGCCTTTCTACTAGTAAAGTAGTAGTCTCCCTGCATTACGTGCTTGTCATCAACCGAATAACCATGGGAGGGCCTCCAAAGTTTCTCAAGAAGTCCTTGTGAAAGCTACATCAGTTATTCACAGAGATGAGATTCCTTCATTTGGACTTCAGAGATTCCGTTTCAACCAGAAAAAAGAGAACCCGGACATCAACGGACTGCGACTTTTCACGCCTTCATGAAGGCTTCCGGTCATCGGTCAATCTCCAGGCTCAATGGCCTCTTTGCCCTGGTTTTCCTGCGGAAGATCTTCGAGGCGAGCCGCAGAGGGAGCACAGCTGAGACCGGCGTGACCGTTGTTTGCACAGTGGAACAGAAGTGATCCATGAGGATCCAGCTTGAGGTGTCAAGCTGCAAAAAGGACTGTGTGTTTGCATGTATAGATGGATGGATGGATAGATAGATGGTTCAGCTAGTAGAAGAAGTTTGTTAGTGTAGGATACCATTATATCATTTTATATAAATACTTATACTTCAAAAGTATATGTGCAAGGGCCAAAACACGCGATGAAAAGTTCTTTACATAAGTCGCCGTGGAATGTCTAAGAATGTGCTTTTCTTTGTAAAATGATGGGAACCCTAAAAAACGATACCAGACAAGTTCATTTGTTGTGGCATGATTGATTTTATTCACAGGTATGTATTGTCCGCTAACAATTTCGACATGCAAAAACGATACCCCAAACGATGCTTTTCGATTCCCCAAACGATACCAGAAATCATCAAATATAGGGAACACCCCATATCCAGGGTCGCCCAACGCAACTTTTCCTCAGATAGCGGGAGCTATTGGGGTTCTTACTTCAAGTATAGGAAGAGGTGCTTGTGCGCTTTGGAGCCTGGGTGCTAGTGCTGCTGCAGGGTGCTGCTGCCAGATGTGTGGCCGTGTGCGCGTTGGAGCTTGGGTGCTGGTGTCGCTGCTCTGGTGCTGCCTACTATGCTGGCGTGATTTCTTAGTAAAGACAACAGCAAGCTTGCAGCTCTCAGGAGAAGAAGGCCAAAAATCCAGTGATCTCCCACACAGAGGATTCGACACATATATCATGAATTAACCAAAGCAAGCTTCGCACTGTGTGAGACGATGGGAACCCTGAAAAACGATACCATGACACTACCACACATAATGAGTTCTGATCGTCGCACATATGAGTGGAACCGTTATCCCACTGTTTCGACAAGTGGACAATCTTCCAGGTCCTTCCCGACCGTTGCCCCAATCTAGCAGGCAGTGAAAGGATGATTTTCCGAAGTAACCAGACCAAGGCCCTATGCTCCTATCAGGTGCCCTTCATTTGTTCAAACTTGCTCCTCGTTGAGGGTCACAAGGAGACCCTCTCGGACAACCCAACGAAGCCTGAGAATTGAAAGATCAAAAGGTGATCATGAAGGATGATGACCCCTTTTGGGGCAAGTTGATGATTATGGAGACTCAATTTAGAGTGGTCCGTTCTTCATTCTGAAGTCACCAACACAATGGACATCAGTCTTTTTCAGGAAACTCAGCTAGAACAAACGAAGGACACCCGCCTTCTGGCTCAAAAAAACGCTTGGGTTTTTCCTTAACATTGCAAGCTAAAGAAGGATTGAATGCTTGTCTTTCAAAAAGTTCACAGTCTTCCAACCGTGGTTCACCCTTGTTTTTGTCCCATCGTTCTCACCGGAACCCGTTCTTTTCCGGTGGCGACTCGGAGGAGGCTTCCGTCAAACGGCGACCGAGTGGAACCGCTCGTGGGACCGAGTCCAATGGGACCAGGAGCACTCCGAAGCTCCATGCTGGAAGAAGCTGTTTGGGGACCGTATTTTTTTGGGGGGAATCATATGTGTACCTGTCGTTCACCATTGTTGAGCCCTATAGTAGGAGTGGTAGGACCGGTAGGACCATGCTAGCTTACAGCTCCGTTTTTTCTGTTAATACATGCACACTCGCGCGGAGACGACCTTAAGTGAACTTACCCCAATCTCTAAGGTCAGTGAGTTCACTCTGAGAGTGCTACCTTAAGCAGATTGGGGTGGATGAAAGATTGGGGTGCTGACCTCGTTCGCTTCCAACATCCACTCCCCCACCGGGAATGGTCGCAGGGTGCCGAAGCTGCGGAGTCGGCCGAGTTGAAGGAGACCGGATGGGCTGTGGTTGGTGCGCCGGGTGCCCTTGGTTTTTTGGGGTACCTTTTTATGGGATGCCTATATATTTATAGATCAATATGCTGTTTTTTGCACCAAAAGGACACCCCCCATAGTTTAGAGTAGCTTGATGGGATATAGCGGAGCTGGTGTCTCGACCAGGTTTTGAAGGGCAGGGCAGAAACATGTTGACTTTACAGCGAATTGGTAGCGTGAGAAAGTCTGAAGCAGTAAGCACAGTGTGACAGTGGGAAGCGTCTGCGGTTCACAGACAACCACTCTAGCCAGCATTGTGGTGATCAGCTGCAGAATGAAAACAAACCTCCGCACCTTCGCCATGCGCCACCCTCATCGTGCTGTCAAGGAGTTGGTGGCCCAAGCCCTGTCTCGCGACACCCAGCGTCTTGAGATTGACATCACCCTGGGGGCAGGACGGAGAGGGCGAACGCTGAGCGATCGAGTCGGTCGATCGGGCGAAAGCCGCGTCGGGTGGAGATCGAGATCGAAGTTGGGGATGGTCATATGTTTCTAACATTTTCTAACCATACCCTGGGGTTCAACGTCCTTTAAAAGAAAAGGCTAGGGCATATGCTGTAATTATATAATATATAATTAGTATTAATATATATACCTCTACCTTCCAAATTCACTTTGGACCCGGTCCAAAGTTTCTCAGAGGACCACTGGATCCATGATGGTCCATGTGGTCCGTTTCCAGCGAGGTCTTTACAGATATTGATGACACGCGAAACGAAAATCCACACAGTAGCTATACCGATTTATCTGGCCTTTCTCGGGCTGTTTGGATTGGGGTCGCACATAATCAATCCAGCTGGCCGTAGTGTCTCACCACACCGCTGGTGAGAAGAGTTGTTGTGTTTGAGCATCGCGTGCTCAATACGATTTTGTTTGCGTGAACCGCTTGCAGTCTGGAGACTTGAATGGGAAACTCTTGTCGCCAAACCACCTATTCTTCAATAACGTGGTTCCCGTCCTTTCAAAAACGGCCCTCTCCAACCAAAGAACCTGACAACATCGGCCTTCACGTGTGCCTTGCTGCAACGGGCAAGATCAAGAATATCGCAGATTGAAAGGACCGAAAACGACGGTTTCCACCCACTGGGCCCCACATCCTCAGTCGATCTGACCGAACGATCACACAGGCATGGGTTCCTCCTCCGATGATGAGCTACTCCTCTTGGTGAAGCACATGTCTCCTAGGCACGATGTCGCCGTCGTTTTTGTGGCCGAGGACGAGACGACAAACTGAGCTGCCAAAGCTGGGCGTTTTTGGGCGTTTTTGCCGCTTGTTGTTCCCTGGTGTTGAGGTCAGGTGATTGGAAAGCGATTGGTTCCGGGGAATGCCTCCAACCAAACAACAGGTGCTCGGTGCTCTTACTCTTGGGAGACAACTTTTGTGCAGACAAAACGCCGAAGGATGTTTTACGCGCAACATCTGGATGAGCTAAGGAGCAGGGGCCGCCTATGTCTATATGTTCCCTCGCTTCTTACAAGCACAATACAACAACAAAAAGGAATTCTAAACAGGTCAGAGGCAGCGGTTCCTACCACCTCCTGAATCATTGTGTCCGTTTTTTGCAGACTCATCGGATGTTTCTTACTGACTGAAGCACTGCAAGTCTGCGAGGCTTCAGCGGATCACAGTGGATGTGAAAGGAAGCGGCCCAATACTTAGAGGGTCTGGGTCGAGTCTGGGCCATTTGGATCAGAACATGTGCTGTTGGGTTTGTTGGTCGGTTAGTTGGTTGCGGTCTTCTGACAAAGGGGTGTGTTTGTAGCAACCAAGCTTTCACCACAAATAAAGGACTTGCCGATCGTGTTGCTCTATTAAAGCACTTCTTGCTGCATTCCGCCTGGGCAAGTGATGCTCCTTTGGCTTTTTGGATGTTTATGGTTGCCGGTTGCAGTCAGTCTTTGGTGAAGGATTCCAAACCTTCCATGTCGACAAAAAAACCTTTGACGTTGGAGATCCCATCAGCCAAGGAGGTCAGAAGACCGTCTTTCAATCGTCAAGTCTTGGGAGACCCCAGAGTTTCTGAGGTTTGAAGAATGCCAGTCTTGCAGAGATCGCCAACTTCTTATCTCCAGAGCTGCAGGTGCAGGGTGGCTGTTTATGCTCAAGGGGTGTGCGAAGCAAGCAAGGATCCCCTCGCATCCCTTCAAACCAAGAACCATCAAGAACCCAGGAACCCAACAATGCAGAATGAATTTAAACAAACAGTTGGTTTTGAGTGAGAAACTAAACCCGCAAATCATCAGGACGCTACTAGGGGCTCCTGGCCTTACTACTGGGAGCAAGAATGCTACTAGGGGCTGGCATCGCTACTATAGGAGCAAGGACGCTACTAGGGAATGTTAGCTAAGTTAGCTTGTCCCGCATTGGCTTCGCTCATCGGTCGGCTCGTTCAAACCAACCCGTCGCGACCATTGGTCGTCGCTCGTGGTCGGTTTGGGAATGCCGGATGAAGGGCTGTCGGATGAAGCCGTGGGCTGTACAGGGCTGTCCTAGTGCTCTACAGTAAGTCAGTGACTTGCAGCCACGACCTACCACGTTCGAGACCTCCAGTTTCTGATTCGAGATCTCCACCAGCCGCTGCCCATCTTTGTTTGGACTCATTTGACTTGACCATGCAGAAGGCCGCTGAATTGCTCAGTGACCTGAGCTTGTTCTCCAGTGCCCTGCTTGTTCTCGCAGGACATTCTTTTGGATTTACAGGGCTGCCGTACTATTACTGATACTGGTATCAAGAGGCGGGAGAGACAGCGACCCGCCGCGACCCGCGCGGACCCGCTCGGGCAGCGAGTGTTTCGATGTGTTTCGATGTGTGGCGGCCATTTTTTCGACCCGCGGAGGTACACAGTGGGATGATGCGGTATGCCACGGATGGCCAACAAGTAAGTAGTGTAGTCCGTCACCCGGTGTAGAACCGTGCTAGTAACTGCTAGTATGTAAATCCAACGATGTCCAGCGGTATTGGGAATTGACCTGGCAAAGACCTCCTTTGGACTGCTTGGTCTTTGTCCAGATGAGCATCTTCAATGCGGTTTTTTGGACCAATTCGCCATGCCATTCGTTTGGGATGTGGAGAGAACGCCGAGTGGCAGCTGAGCACGAATGGCCAAAATCACCGGTTCAGCGGAACGAAGAACCATTGCCGTGTCCATTCGAACCAGGCTAGCTTTGGTGTCCGCATTTGTTTGCGGTATATAATATGTAGTTTTTGTTGTTAATGCATGTATTTGAACATGCATAAGCCTAGTGATGTTTTTGTTCCTCACTGGTTGTGTAAGTATTGGTAGCAAAGTGATAATGTTATTTTGGCATTCATTCACCCAACCGGCAGCCATCTCTTTTTTCTCCAGGTTTATGGACAACCTCATGGACAATTGCGATCGTTCTAAGCTGAGCACCGTCTCGTGCTTATTGATGGGAACGAAGGCACGTGGGACAACTGGTATATGTGTGTGTGATATTTTTCCCTAACGAAAGAATGCCATAAAAATGCAATTAACAAATAGACAAACACGTTTGGCCACACAATCCGCTTGGACTGAACACCGGGCCTCCCTGAGCCGCCTCCGTTGTTCCCTGTTTTGGGGGGAGGATTAATAGAGGTTCACCATATGTTTTCACGTTGGGGATCGAAGGACTGTGAAGAAACGGTCAACTCTTTAGAGTTCAGGTTTCAGCTCATCTGCCTAGAAACCCTTGTTCCTTGCGTTCATGAGGCACAGCTCTCCACCCAAAGGATCCGGGCGGTTTGATTCGTGCCGGTCGTGGAAGGTGGCGGAACACAGCCAAGAGGCATGTGAGATTCTGGACCTGGAGCAGATCGCTCAGGCGATGTTGTCTCCAACAGCGATGTTCGGTGCTTTCGGGATGTGGTGCTGGTGTTCTGATCTTCCTAACTGGTTACATTGTAAACGATGCTTCGGGTGAAAGCAGCCACAACCTGCCCCAGCCAACTGAATCGGTGAAGAGTCCCTTCGGATTGTTTGGTTTCATGCACTGCACATCACTACACCATTTGTTGAACCCGCCACTTCATTGGTTGAAAACAACGACAACGAAAAAAGCAACGCCCGGCCCATGGGATCCAGCGATCCCCGCGCGATGGTTTGGGTTTGGGGGGTTAGATCGTTGGATTCGGACAGCTTCGCTCCAAAGGTCGCCGCTGTATTTTCGACTGGTGGGTTTCATGGGTGGGGTGAAAGAAGAGCATCCTGAGGACTTGGCCAAGAGGGGGTTGAAAGGAGGATGCGACTGGCATGTGATGAGAAACAATGGACACAGGGGATGCGCACCTTTGCTAGGCCGTGTGTAGCAGTGTAGCACGGATGTACAACAGTGGCAACGCTTAAGAATAATTGGAAATTTGAAGCCTGTTGCTCAACCTGCTGCGTTTGAAACGCTTTTCTAGACATTGGAGGTATCAGTGTGGCCATACAAAGGAGTTCCCAAGGTGTGGGTTTTGAAGTAAAAAGACTAGCTGTGCCATACCTCAAAATACCACACGTTTGGAACCGTTTGGAACCGCGATGCTGCCTTAAACACTTCTCGTTAGATGTTTGATCTTCGAGATCCCATCTGAAGTTTGCCCAGCTAGCATGTTGTGTTTGTAATTTCTTGTGAAAATAGAGACCAAGCTAGTATGTTGTTCCCGAATGCGTAGCGAAGGGTTCCCGTTTATAGTTGGGGGTCTGGGGGTTGTTTGCATGGCTTGCGTCGTGTCGTCGTCTCTCGTCGTCTCTCGTCGTTTGTCGTCGTTTGTCGTCGTCGTGTCGTCGTCGTCGCGTCTCAAATTTGCTGCCATTGGGGGAAGCTTTTGCAAGTGACTTTTCATGGATGTGACACGTGTCAGTTTGCGCCGCAATTCCATTGTGATTTGCATGACCATGACATGTCGCGCAAGAAACGAGATGCATTTCGCTGCACAGGCGCAGCGTTTTGTGAGATCCGCAGATTGCTGCGCAGTTCCATTGGGATTAGCGTTTGGAGAGTCGTGTTTTTGGGGTGTTGGATGTGGCCGTGCCATTGGGATTTGCGTTTCAGGGTGTGGCATCGAAGCTCGGTTTTCGTGACAAGTCTCAGCTGAAATGGCGATTTTGGTGGATGGGAGTGTGCTCAGAACGGGTCGAAATCATTCCAAACGTGTGGTGTGGTGCAAATTTTGTTGAAGATGTTGAAGCTCACATGAGATGATATTGTCACTTTTCGTGGCAGGCGCAGGACTTTGTGCGTGCTTTGAGGTGTGGAAGTGAGGGAATCGTGAGGTTGCGAGGTGTGACGGAGGTCACATTTCGTGGCAGGCGCAGTACAGTACTTTGTGCGCGTTAGACGTGTGGACGCGGAAAGATTCGTGGCAGGTGCAGGGAATCGTGAGGTTGTGAGTCGTGGTAGAGGTGAATGTCGCTGTCACATTGGGATTGGCGTGTGAGCGGATGTTGTTTGGAGGGCTGGAATCGCGAAACTGCTTGGCAGGGCTGCGTGATGTGTGTGCTGCGATGGGTGTTTCCGCTTGACTTTTGGAGGAAGTCTCGTACGAAACGCTCGTTTTGCAGACTTTGACGTGTGAGTTTTTGAGGAAGTCTCGTACGAAACGCTCATTTTGGAGACTTGACGCGCAACCCTCTGCGGAGATCGTGCGTGTCGAGTGCGAGAGTGCGATTTGTCCCATGCTTGCGCAACCCTCTGCGGAGATGCGTGTCGAGTGCGCGAAATGCAGGCGAGAGTGCGATTTGTCCCATGCGCGCGCAACCCTCTGCGGAGATCGCGCGTGTCGAGTGCGCGAAATGCAGGCGAGAGTGCGATTTGTCCCGTGCCCGCGCAACCCTCTGCGGAGATCGTGCGTGTCGAGCGCGCGAAATGCAGGCGAGAGTGCGATTTGTCCGGTGCCCACACAACCCTCTGCGGAGAGCGTGCGTGTTGAGCGCGCGAAATGCAGGCGAGCACTGGCGACTTGTAGCGCAACTTTAGTCCGCGGAGTCTCTGGGGAGCTGGAAGATGAGAACTGGTGACTTTGTAGTACAACTTTAGTACGCGGAGTATCTGGGGAGCTGGAAGAGTGTCCCACAAGAGTGTCCCGCAACAGTGTCGCTCAAAGAGTGTCTCCCAAGAGTGTCCCTTAAGAGTGTCCGACAAGAGTCTCCCACAAGAGTGTCCTATAAGAGTGTCCCACAAGAGTGTCCCACAAGAGTGTCTCACAAGAGTGTCCTACAAGAGTGTCCTACAAGAGTGTCCCACAAGAGTGTCCCACAAGAGTGTCCTACAAGAGTGTCCCTTAAGAGTGTCCTACAAGAGCGTCGTGTAAGAGTGTCACACAAGAGTGTCCTGCAAGTGACCCACAAGAGTGTCCTACAAGAGTGTCTCACAAGAGTGTCCCGCAAGAGTGTCCTACAAGAGTGTCCCACAAGAGTGTCCCACAAGAGTGTCCTACAAGAGTGTCTCATAAGAGTGTCCCGCAAGAGTGTCCTACAAGAGTGTCGTGTAAGAGTGTCCCACAAGAGTGTCTCATAAGAGTGTCCCTTAAGAGTGTCCTACAAGAGTGTCCCACAAGAGTGTCCCACAAGAGTGTCCTACAAGAGTGTCCCACAAGAGTTTCCTACAAGAGTGTCCCACAAGAGTGTCCTACAAGAGTGTCCCACAAGAGTTTCCCACAAGAGTGACCCACAAGAGTGTCCTACAAGAGTGTCCTACAAGAGTGTCCCAGAAGAGTGTCCCACAAGAGTGTCCTCCAAGAGTGTCCCACAAGAGTGTCCCACAAGAGTGTCCTATAAGAGTGTCCCACAAGAGTGGTCTACAAGAGTGTCCCACAAGAGTTTCCTACAAGAGTGACCCACACGCTCAAGAGTGTCTCACAAGAGTGTCCCTTCAGAATGTCCTACAAGAGTGTCGTGTAAGAGTGTCCCACAAGAGTGTCCTGCAAGTGACCCACAAGAGTGTCCTACAAGAGTGTCCCACAAGAGTGTCCCACAAGAGTGTCCTACAAGACTGTCCCACAAGAGTTTCCTACAAGAGTGTCCCACAAGAGTGTCCTACAAGAGTGTCCCACAAGAGTTTCCTACAAGAGTGACCCACAAGAGTGTCCTACAAGAGTCTCCTACAAGAGTGTCCCAGAAGAGTGTCCCACAAGAGTGTCCTACAAGATTGTCATTTAGACATATGTAGTTTTTCGAACGTGTTTCCATTCGGGTTCGTGGGTTCCATCTTGTTTTTGTCCAAGCACTTCAAGCAGCATATATATCAATTGTATCACAAAGCCATGCTGCAGGCCTTGCTTTTTCCAAGAATAAAACTGATCGTTTGATATCATTTGTGCTTCCAACAACTAAGATTGCTACTCCACCCAAACCAATCAAGAGGCAAGTTCGATCGGCTCAAGTGTTTTTTCGTTTGCAGAGCGTCAGGTTCGCACGCAGCTGGAGCTTCAAGAGAGGAGCTGGTTCTTGGGATGAGCCGTTTTTTGGGGCGAAAGCACCATGAGCCCAACCGGTGCGGTGCAAGGCATCACCGGTCACAGTACGGAGATCGACAGTGTCGATTGAGAGTACCAAGGGCCCATGGGGTGGTCGGATGGCGGTCTCCGGGATCTCCGGTGCCCATGCGGGCAACTTTTGATTCAAACAAAACACCTTTCAACCCCAAAAGGAAGGCACCCCAAATGAGCCCTCCGCTGGGACCAAAAAAACGACACGGGCTCCTCTTTGTGCTGTGGATCGGGCGAGTAAGTAGCCTTGACCTGGACAAAGTGTTCCGAAGCACCGAGTTCTGCATCTTTTCATGACGACACGGTAGTGGTTCTCGATGGCCCGGTTTTTTTCCAGGGCTCCTATGTTTTCATCCCTTCAGCGCCGGTGCCAGGAAGAACCAAATCAAGCGTTTGATGAAGAATGTGGATCAGGGGAAGGCCACCACCACGGAGGGTTTTTCTCCACGACGCGCAGGTCAGCGTGTTTTTTTTATTGGGGGGCTACCAGCGCAGGTCTAGACTCCGCATGAACAGTTGTGTAGTTTTGAAGGTCCATCCAGGGTGTATTGAAGGCGATTGAAGGTTTGCCAGCCTTTACAACTTGGGCAGGTTGCAAAGGTGCCCAGTACACACCTGGACTTTCAAGAACAAACATCTAGAAGCTCATGAATCCATATAGATAATACAGTATAGAGATCGTCGATTGTGTTTCACCTCCCGCCGTATCGTATCACCGTATGACTGTGCTGTGGCCTCAACGGAGGACGTGTCGATTGTGTTGCTGTTCCGAGCCAAAGGTGCCACAGGAGAGTTGCACCAGGATACACTTGTGCAGCTTGTGCGCCAAAACAGTAAGATGAATGAAGAGCTGGGGTTTTCAGGGAACAGGAGTGAAAGGGTACCTGGGTTAGCCTGGGTTGAGGCATCTGTGACGATTACGGGCGCGGTGAATGGGGCGTGCCGCTTTATTGGGCTCCAAGGTGCAATGTGGGAATGAAAGCTAAGGATGCACAATGCAATGGCAAGGTTGCGCCAGGTTAGGCGGAGAGTGTGTGCGGCAAAGGTCGGGATCCGACAAGTCATCACTCCTTTTCATCACACAACACATGACGACATGTGTGTAGTTTATATAGCATATATTATTTTTATTGTTGTTATTATTATTATTACTATTATTATATATATATTGTTTTTCATTGTTGTGTCGTATCCTTTGAACTTTCAACCTTTTGCCCACCAGCTGTGCCAGAGCTTACCCGGTATCAAGAACTCCTTACCAATATACCTTCTGTCTTCCTACCGTGTTTGGAAGACAGGGAAGAGCTTGGAAGCATCCCTAAAGCATTTGCAAGGTATCAATCTTCCCAACCCTGCCTAAGTCGTCCCAACCCGCGGTACTGTTTCACCGGTCTTTACCACGCGCCTCTCAGACGGCCATCGCCTCCTTCAAGCGGCTCATGCAGAGTGACGTTGAGGCGCCTTACGGTCCCCTTTTGGGGTTGGATCTGCCCAAGTAGGATGACCCCGTGACCGTTGGGATGGCGCCCAAGTTTGCGCCAGGAAAGGAGTCACTTGAGTCACTTTCACTTTGGGGTCCCCATCGTGCACTATTTGAGAGTGGATCCAGTTCTGTTTAGTGATTTCAAGGAACTAAGCAGAATCTTGAAGTTGCACATCTCTGTGTACATAGAGGGATCCAGTGGGCGACAGGATCTGAGAAACCCAAGAGTCTCCCATGTTGGACCGCCCAAAATCACGCCTCGTTTTCTGTTTGTTTTGGAACCTTTCTTGACAAGAAAAGGAAACATCACAAACATCACATGAAGCACCCGTTACACACTGCCCGGTTTTTTCTTTTTTAATCAACAGCCCTTCTGGCTGTTGATCACGTCCCACCAGTCTCTCCACCGGTCACCTCCCGCGTGCAAAAGCGCAGGTGGCGCTCCGCGGTGTGCTGGGCGAGACGGGCTTGATCGATGCTTCCCACGTGGAGTGGGGCATTCACAGTCACTGAGCCAGCATTGTGCTTTTTTCTCCCAGGCACCAGGAGCAACCTGAGTGTGTGTGTGGGTGTGTTCCACCAGGTTTTTGTGCTATACCAGGAGCAACCTGAGTGTGGCGTCGCGGGTTCGGCCAGGTCCGCTGCGAGGAAGAACACAAGATACCAATCCCTGCATGGAATATTAACCTACATTAGAGTAAGTTTAAGATGTTTTGATTGATGGTCCATAATGTAGTAGGTAAAACATTCCATACATGGATTGTTGGGGGATGTAGATGTAGACCGTTTTTCATGAATGTGCAGCATGTCACAATGCTTTTTGTGTTGCAGAATATGTTGCGCAGCCCAAAACTCGACAACATACATCAACATACCACAGAAAGTGGGCCTGCCTTTGCACAGAAAGTAGTTCACACATGTTCACACAATCCACTCCAAAAATCTCCAAAATGCATCAACGCAGAATGCATTGGATGTGTTTGTGCCGCCTTGTTGGGGTACATGGGGAGACACCGCAAAAGACAGCCATCATGGTGCCACCGTGCCACGAAAAAAGAAACACCCATTGAAGTAAAGCCAAAAGATGGCCCGTTGCACAATGAACAAAACAGATCAAAACAGCATGTCCCGCATGTCGCGGCAAAAAACAAACCAATGTCCAAGTTGTTGATCAGCAACCAGTGTTGAGATACAACCCGAATGGTTTCCTTTCGAGGACACTTGGTTCTGAACGTTGGCATCGAATCCACTGATCACTGAACGTTGGGTGCAGAGTGGTGTGAGCGTTTGGTGTGAGAAACAAGCAGCACCCACAGCTGCTAGTTGCAAGGTGTCCCTTAGTTCATCTAGTTTTACTATGTTTTACCACAGCACAAGACCGTCACCCACAGCTAGTTGCAAGGGTTTCCCTTAATATTGTTTTACAACATTCAAGATGTCCAAAGAAACATGTATCAATACCTCCATTGACGCGCGAGATTCGGGAGCAAGATTCACAGCACCGCCCCGTTGAGGTGAAGATATGGCGATTGCATTTGACCAGGTCGGGGCCCGGTCCGGACGTCCCCGGACGGGACCGAGGTCTCCGCAACAGGGGTTACTATTGTCACAGCACAATAGGCCGATATATTGGTTTGCTTTGCCTAAATACATTATAGACTAGATCCCTGATAGTTGGGAGTCATTCTTAGGCTTAACTGAGGCCTCATTCGTCCTTGTGTCTCATTCAGAGCAGTAGCAGATGTTGCATGCCCGTCGCGATGCAGACATTCATCAAAGTGCTTCTGGACGTTGGTGCGACGATCGAATTCATGTGCTGGCCTTAAGACAGGAGGAAGCTGATCAACAGCACTTGATAATGGTGTTACCTTTGGCGTTGTCGGAATGGTGCCTTCCCCATTCAAGATGTAAAGATGAAAAAAGGAAACCGTTTGTAGTATGTTTATAGGAAACCTGTCATGGCAATAGGCAGGTGTCAGGACTGCAAACCAAACACAGATCAAGGGTGTCTTATTTGGCTCTCACAGTTGTAGCACAGCTTCAGACAGCAACTATGGAGTTGATTGATACAAGGGATTGAAAGCTGCCTTGCTGACGTCCTGGAGGGTACAACAATCTTATCGTGCCCCATGAATAGGATTGTTCTTTTTGGGTATCACCTGCTTGGCAGGTGCTTTGTGGTTTGTTGTTTGCCAGTCAGTGGCAGCTGACGGCAATGCTCGTCACGGAGTGTCCGCGAGCGCGAGAGGTAGAATAGGATTTACATGGATTTACCACATGTACCACGTCATTTCTCCCCACGTTTCCCCATATAAAAAACGTGACCTACCGAAGTCGGAGAAAGCCCTTCGCCCAGGAAGCGTCCAGAGGCTCCACCCTACTCGGTGATGTGGCCACAAGAGGCGAAACTGTCTCCCGGAGCGAACGTCCGAGCGTCGCGAGCGTTCGGGTCACCAGACACGACCCGGGACTGGGAGCTGCCAGTCCGGACTGCCAGTCCACGGCCCAAGGGTGGTGGGTTTGGGGGTCTGTCTGTGGCGGCAGTCCTATGGCAGTCCCATTAGTCGTGTTTGGGATCAATCCTTCAAGATCCCTTCAAATCCAAAGGGATTTCAAGAGATCAGAGATTTCCTGGGGTCAAAAGCCCCAGCATTCGGGAGTGAGGTCGAGAAAAAGATTATCTTTGTCAGGTGTATATATCAAGGATAGAATGCTTCATATAGATGTAACGTTGGATCAGTGAGGTGAATGGTGCTAGAAGTACGTCACAAATCATTATTGAATGATCTTGAATGCATCATGTCCACATATGGAAGATGCATTCCGTTGTCGGGCAATGTGCTGAGCATTCTCCAGGCTTGACCACCATGGGGTAGAGACATTCATCACTGCTTTTCAACAGAGGATCGGCCAATTCCGGTGAAAAGGGTGAACAACTTCTGGCCGAAGATTCTTCGGACTGCCTGGCTCCAACAAGTTACTCCTTCCACGGGAGACTGCCTGGCTCGGGGCGCTTCGCACTAGGGCCCTGGGCCCTTTTGGGAGCCGGGCTCTCGATGAGCTGCGAACTGCCAGGAACCTGACCGAGATGCCGACAGTCGGGTCTACAAACTGCACCACCGGCACGAGGCAGATGGCCGGGTGGGTCGAGCACCGTCGAGCACCGGCTGGCATATCTGGCTCTGGCGGCGCTGAGACGAGATCCTTTATGATTAAGTCCTTTTTTGGTTTGGTGGCTGACTTGGTCTGGTCACCCATTTTCTTTTGGATTTACCCGGTGGTCTAGAAGTTCTGAAAATTCAAAGCGGTTGTTCCTTCGTCACCGGGCCAAGAAAAAAATGTTTATTAAACAAAGGCGCCCAGATGAGAATAGCACCACTGCAAGATGCTATTCTTCTTATATCCGCTGTCCATTGCTTTTCCCACATGGATGTGTCGAGGATGGTCCGGGTCTTCGACCAAACGGACTGCAGGTTGTTCGGTGTGTTTGTTTTCCCCCGACCTCAAGCCGATCCAACATGAACACATTCAACACATGCGGAATGCGATGGAAAACTTAGCACCCGAGACATCCCGAGACATCTCTCCCTCCAGTGTTCCATTTCCTGAAATGTTGTTGAAGGATTTTGGGGAAGGAGATGAGACGAACATCCAAAAGGATCACACCCAAAAGTCGAATGGGGGTGGTTTGGTTCGTCCCGGGGCCGTGGATGTGAGGGCAGCACCCCGACTTCCTCCAAGTTCAGCACCCCGTCTTGTCTTCTGGACTGTCCAGTGTCCGGCTCATGACACCTTTCTGCCAAGCGCCGAGAAGCCGTAGGGCTTCATAGACGCCATGGCCGAGAAGCTCAAGGAGGCATGGCATGTTGTTTGTCTAGTACTGCGACCGTATGCATGTAAGGACCAATTCATCTAAGGTATTGTTGTCTAGTAGTGAGTGTTTTCTTGGGCAAGGCAGGGGTTCACAAGTTTGAGACAAGGGATTCTTCACCTAAGAACTTTGCAGGGAATCGATGTCGAAGAATGCACGACCCCAACGGAGATCGGTGGCAGTTGGCCTAGGTGCAGCCATCCGGACGGAAGGCAGTGGCAGCTGCTCTACTGGAGCCAGGGGCCCCGGGGTGGTGAGGCAACCAAACTGCTTTCAGGTCTTTGTCTTAGACGCATGGACTAATTGCATGGACTAATTATATACTCAGAACTGTCTTCAATCACCTTCCTGAATCGCAACCGGGCCAATGAAAAGGGGTCTTGGTCACCCCCCGCTGGTCGCTCGATCACGGGTCGCGACTCCGGGTCGCCACACGCTGAGGCTCCGGGCCGGCGATCTCATCCGCGCGGCCATTCCATCGAAGGATGCACAGAAGTTGGCCTTTATCTACGCGGCACGCGAGGAGAGACGGATGACGTGAGAGAGAGAGAGAGAGACGGGTGTTTTCGTGGATGGACCAGAATGGAGACGAAAACGGGGGGAGCAAGATGCGAAGTTGTTGCTCAAAAAGTATTGAATGGATGTGGATGGATATAAATCAGTCAGGATAGCTATAGGATTTTGGAGGTGTTGAAAAATTGAAGTGTTGGAGGGAATCTCAGCTCAGCTGCGGGCTAACAGACATATATACAGCATACTTGCGACCCACTATACAGATTACACCGTGGTTGCCTCTTTGCAAGCTGCTGCCTAGAATTCAGCGTTTACTTTTGGATGACCAGACTGAGAGACACTCATGAATATATGACCATGCACATTTACTCACAATTGGCACATCTTGGTTGGTACAATATCCGATGATCTCTCAAAAGGACCCATAGGTATACATGATCCAGTGGCGGCGGATCCAGTTCAAAGGTACAAATCTTCCCACAAAGGCTTAATTAAGCCTAGCAGAGTGCCGTTCGCAGCTACTTTTCCCTTTAAACTCAGTGGGGTATGTTCCGCTTCGTTCGGTTCGCGTCCGATGCCGCAAGGACGGGTGAAGAGTGTTCGACCTTTCCGAAAACCCGGCGCCAGTGGGTAGGGAAGTTTCGGGAAGTTTTAGCTCCTCAGTTCGGATCAAACACTGGATCCAGCCACCCTCGTTCCGGAGTCGGTTGGAGGCCGCTTCTAGGTTGTTCGGACCGATCAGCCACTGATCAGCCGATCGATCTCAGGGCAGCCGCGAATCCGTATCATCGCTGCTCTTGTCCTTGGGTGAGCTTTTGACCCAGGCATCGACGGAGGTTTTGGGGGCGACGGTTGCCGGGGCGAGACACGGAATGGAGCGAGACACGGCCGAATTGGAAAAGCGCAAAACCGATGTGGACGGGGCTGGTCAGGTGAAACTGGAGGGTTGTTGAAAGCCGATGCTGGAGATGGGGATGTTTGGGGATATTGTGGGCAGTGGTGCAACTCCAGTGGATTTGAGCGGCATTTCAGGTCCTGTATATGTCTGGATGGACTATTGACCTTGGCACTGCAGCTGCAAGAACAAATCAAAAAGCATTGAAGGCTCACAGACATTAATATAGATAGAACAGGAATTCCATAGGAATTCCTTGAAATCTTCCTTTGAGTGGGAACCACTGTTCCATCTGGTGGAGTCCCCCCATCGTCAAAAGACCTAAAAACCCCTGCCATGCATTCGTGTCTTTACCCTCTGACTCACTAACATGGAAGTGGAAAACCCCTTGTTGGTAGAGGAAAGTAGTCTTCCAAGGGAGCATTTTCCGCTTCCATGTTAGTGAGTCAGAGCGTACTATTATCATGCCTGGCTGGGACAGCGACGGAGTTGCTCGGCCGGTTTGCCCCGTGGACCGGACCTTTAGTCGCGGAAGGTGGATGATGCTACTTGGGATGAGGAGGACATCGATCGGGATGACATGTTCGGTCAAAAATGAGTCGTACGACTTGCGCTTCTGACTGTGTCCTTGTATAATTCATTAGTGATATGCAGGTGTTGGGAAACTTTGTGCTGACGTTTTGTGTATAGAAGATATAGAAGATGAAGTCAGTGAAAACATGGGTACATTTGGGCGAGGAGTCCTGTAGAAGGAGGCGGCAATTCTTTCTTGTCTTTGAGCAACATGCTGGTGAAAGGGCAGCAGGTCGCACCTCGCCAACAGCTTGCCTGTACAATTGTACACCTGCGAATGCCAACCAAGGATGTAAAGATGGCATGTTGTGGCCGTGGTCCCCGAGGAATTCAATTGGTTGGTAAGTTGGGATGTTTGTCCCATGTGCAGTACGTGTTCCACATCCCTTGGTCCACAAGCTGCCGCAGAGCGCAACAGGCGTACAGCAGGGCCGACGTCCACCATGCGACGTCCGCCATGCCCGCAGCCCATTGAACCTGTCGGACCTGCCGGTTCGGACGCGGCAGGACCTGGCGCTATGCAACTTGAAAGACAGCTTCACCGCACCACGGGGTACTGCGCTTCATGGTGCCGCCGAGAACGGCCACTCCGAGGCGTGTGGCCTGGGTCGCGTATGTTCAGGTGGTGTGGCCTGGGGGTGATGGCCGGGAGGTGGAATCAGCGTGAATGAATCGATGCTGAAGACTCTTTTGATTTTGATATTTCTTTATGTGCTTTGTATGTTTGTGAAGAGGCCATGTTTGTTGGACTATTTGTGGGGGGTTGATGGTGTTGTAACATGGTCAGCCATTGTCCATGATGCCGATTTGATTCATGAGAAGAACCAAAGGATTGTGACAACAAATATTGTTTAATGGAGGTGAAACAGTTTGGACTTGACGAGCAGGACCACTGGCCATTCCTTCCAAATTTGAGGATGGGAATGTGCTGGGAGTGTCCCAACAAGTGGACACTGATGGGCAATGAGCTTTGTGTTGCAGAGTCAACAATTCCGAAGGAATTGTTGCTTTTGGTGCACTTCCCGTTTTCATGCCTGAACCTAAAGTCCGTCTCTTTTCATGCAACTCTTTGCAACTCGTGTGCGTCGTCCACTTGTCCACTTGTCCACTTCCGTTCGTTGGGCTTCACCGGTTCAGGTCGTCCAGAAGCTCCTCGATTGGGGGGCCGATGTGAATCAGATGCGCTTCGACACCGATGCACGGGGCCCCCGGAAACGCCACCGAAACCGGGGCGACCGACCGACACGGGGTACGGTGATGAGGTCAGGTAGGATGATGTGGGACGCAGAAGAAATACCTCTGGAGGTGCAAATTAGCCATCCTAGATGGATCTCTAGCTGAAAAGAAGACAGGATTGGCTCCACTCCCAGTTCAACCAGGTTCCTGTTCCTCTTTAGGGGCCGCGGCGTCTGCCCATTTTTGTGAAAGACCCAGTTAGGATGCAATGGCATGCAATCGCAGGTTGCTTGAGCAGCTTTTCTGTGCAATCTGGCTGTTTGGGGAAGAGCATGGGTTCTAACGAGGTGGAGGGGTTGTCAATGTGCACAGGTCATCAACTACTGTGTGTTAAAACCTTGGGATCCGCGGTTGATTAAATCAAAGGCTCACCAAGGACTTGAAGTCAGGAAGTGTTTGCGAAAGGGGTGTGTGTCTTCAGCAGTTGCACTTGCTTTGGTAGATAGAGTCGATTCAGCCATTTTCCTCCATCAAGAATGCTTGAGGAGAACAGAAACACGAGCATGCCCCAATGGGATGGACCATTCGATCAAAACCTAAGACATCCCGCTCCTTGGTTTCGCCTAACTTCTCCGTGGTTTTTCGGATGTCTTCAGGTTCGTGTCGTGTCGGCGTCAAGGTCGACTCACTCGACCTTCCACCGACTGCGTCGCCGCGTCGAGCCGAAGTTGTGAGGCCACGGCCCTGACCTTGGCCGCGCAGAGAGGATGGTTGGAGGCCGACCTGCTGTCGTGCACCGTATCTCTTGCGATGCGATGAGCCAACGAGTCAGAGCCAGTTCGGATTCGCCATCAGATGAAGAACGAGCAACAATCCGTTGGGGAATCTGATTTAACCACAGTTCTTGAGAACATCCATGTTCCCTCTATGTTGATGTTCTTCTGATGGGGTACACCCCATCCTGTCCTCTTTGGGACCGTGAGGTCTGTGCTGTCCTTTTGGACAATGGCGCTGAAATCGAGGCCGCCCGTGTTTCGTGGCCGCCAGAAGGGTCTGACTGATGTTTGCAAAAGACGGTCGGCAGCCTGGGTGACACCAGGATCCACTGAGCCAAGCATGACCACCATTGGTGTTGGTGACCATCCTGCGGTGGATGGAGCTGACCGTGCGTTGTACTGAAGAAGTTCATTGCGAAGCTCTCGGAGTGTCACAGAGTTAGCCCAGTGAGCAGGAGTCTCCGATTCTGGATATGGCTGTATTTAGGCCTTAAACCCAGCAACCCAAGCCCCGGTGAACTGTAGTTGGTCCAGCTGCTCATTCTTTGGATTAGCTTGCCACAGGAGCCCCACACTGAGCCAGAGCTGCATAAAGGGGAAAGAGTAGATGCAAATACCTTCTTGTCCACGGAGGTCCAAAGGATGGGTGTTGGAGGACAGGCTTGCCTACGATTGGAGGGTAGGATGGGTGCACTGAAAAACTTCAAAGCCCACTGGCCGGGGTGCCTATTAAGCACTACGCGCTTAGGGTCCCAAAACCACCTTTGGCAGTGCTGGAGGATATAGCTGTTGAGCAAAATAGAGAGACCCGCACAAAAGATCACAAACTAGTCCCCTGGCAAAGCAAAAGATAAATGAAGACCAATATGCCATAAGCTTATATACCAGGACTATCTAAATGGGTGTCCAATAATATAATAAGCTATTATGTATAGATCGCTAGTCGCTTAAGGATCTCCATATTGGGCACCCCTTGGATGTTACAGGTACATTTAAAAATGTATATATATATATACATAATATATACCAGGACCCCCTAAGGGGTGTCTATTGATAGCCCCTTAGGGGTTAAGGGGTGTCCATTAACCACCCCTTGTGGGTCCTAGTATATATAATATACACCGTATTTGTTGCCCCAACCGGCCCCAACCGTGCACCATTGGCCACCCTGCGACCATGGTTTAGAACAATATGTATACTTGTATTTGTCTTGGGTCCATCCGATCCATCCATTCCATTAAAGCTATACATCTATCTACAGTCCCAAACGCTCCTGGACACTCATATGCAGGGGTCGGACCCTCATATGGAGGGGTCTGGACCCTCAAATCCCTACGGTTTTGAGGGACCAAGGGCTGTTTGGAGCGTTTGGGGTATATAAATCTCGCCAGGTCCGCGACATGACTGGCCGCACTCCTCTCAGTTGGGCGGCTGGACATGGACACGTCCACGTGGTGGAGGAGACCGACGGTCGCCCAGCGACGGCACATGATGGAGGGCCCGAAACAACCGACTGCACTGGCATATTTACATGACCAGGGGTGTTTGATGTCAGAGGTCATTGGGAAGGCACATATTATTTGTTTGTCTCATGGAGTGTTTGGGATATGACAGGAGCTGACTCCATGGTCCGCCCCTGGTGGTTTTTCATGTGAGATTCTTTAATCAGGGTGAGGCTATGTCAGTTTTTCTGATTGGACCGGAGTATCTCATTTTCATACCTCCTCCAAACATGTTGACACCCCTCTCCGAGGTTTGGAACGACATGTCCCACAGATAGAGACACGGCTTCGAGAACTCAGTGTTACGTAAGTAAATGTTGTCTTGAGAAACCTGGCCTTGCGCTGGAAAACCGTGCGGAATCCTTTGAGTCTATAGACGTTAGTTACCCACCGACCTGGTCGCTTTGCGGTCGACCCCCCCGCCTGTCTCTCTTCGGACGACGGACGTTGCCGGACCTCGCACGGGACCGAAGCGGCGACGTCGAAGGGCCGTACCGTACCGGTCCCGGTGGAGAGAAAGCTGGGCACCACCGTGGTGACCGTGGCTGTGTGCATGACCGTGTGACGAAGGTGCAGGCGTTGGGGCCGTTTTCATGAGTGGAGAGATGCTGTGACGCCACAAAGTAGTAGGATGGAAACGAAGTCGTGATGTGATGATCTGAACACGTGGGCCACTTCATCTCATCGAAATGACCATGGCAGGGATTCAGAGGTGCATGGTCGAGCCATGATTGGTTTGAGTATGTTTGAGTTCTGTTTGGCTGATCAGAACAAGCGAACTCAACGACAGAAATGGCCTAAAATAGACATGACAGACTCATGTAGGCTGCTGAAACAGGGGTCAAACCAAAAGGCAACTTCCTGAAACTCTTTTGGATCCATATTACATATTATTTCACATGTCGGATGTTCAAGAGGGGTAGGGTTTTAACTCGATGTTTGTTGTGTTCACTACAAGATGGGCTTGGTTCGGCGGATTCTCCCAAACCCTGAACAAAACATCCACGATTTCGAGGTCCCGCGCCACGTGACCTGGCCGCCCAGTGCAAACAGGAACTCCTCGGGCCACGTGACCTGGCCGCTTCGCTTGACCCGTCCGCCGCAGGAGCTGTTGGAGCGTTCGGCGCAGATCGACCGACCGGACCCTTTGGGGGGTGCGGCGGAGTGGGGTGCGGCGGAGTGGAGCGCGGTGCGGTGCTGGGAGTGGGAGGTGCGCCAATCTTTCTGTTGGCAGGACTGTTTGGAGTCCAGTTTTGGAGATGGCAAGTTTGGGGTTTGACAGAGCACCTGCTCAGAGGCAAAGGTTGAATGGTCAAGGAAGGAAGAGAGTTCCTGCATGGTTTGAAGTCAACGATCACGAGTAGGCTTTGATTCGTTGGGGGGGTTCTTAGGTTCACGGTGTGTTTGGCGTGTTTGTTGCTATACAATAACTGTACTTAATGAAGTATATAGCATGATGATACATTATGTGTGTTGACTCGTTCGTTCGGGTCTTTTTGGTGCAATTACCGTATTGATTCCCATCATGTATGTTGACTCGTCATGTGTTCTTATACTCTTATGACCGCACGGCATCAAAAAGCACATAAACGGTGCATTATGATTACAGTATTTATTCCCGTCAAGACTCCTGGCTCGGACCGTCACCGTTTCGGCGGACCACCGGCCCGACACCGCTTCGGACCACCGGTGTACGGCGCACGACGTGTCCCGCGCGAGAGAGCGTCGTCTCCGCAGGACTCGAAGGGCATGACACCGCTGATGTTTGCCGCTGGTATTGGCCAGGTGGCGGAGAGACGCGACGAAGCCGCTGGAGTGAGTGAAACACCGGTCTGCAGGGTGAAGAAGCCGGTGGTTTGAGGTGGGGCATGAGCAAGATCATGGATGAGGATTATAGTGATAGTGATGGTGATGTGGTGATGATGATGGAATTTGAACATGATATGACCCAGACATACCCAGACCATCTATGGGACTGGCCTATTTACCTACATTGGGGTGGTTTTTGGTCAGGAGTCAATGGGGCGGCATATATTCCAGTCCCATGGAATGGCATGTGTCGATCTTCATATTCGGTCCGACTCGGCAGCCGACTCTTAGAACTACCAGGTTCGTCACGAGAGTCGGCGAGTCAGTCGACCCCGAGCCCGGTTGACCCGGAGCGTGGACCTCCCAGTAGTCTCCCAGACGCTCCTGGACCCTCATATGCGTCGGACCCGAATCTTCTGGAGGGGTCTGGACCCTCAAAACTCTATGACTCTATGGTTTTGAGGGACCCAAGGGCTGTGAACGGAGCGTTTGGGCTGTTCATTTCCGGTCAACCTCGGTCCCCTGGTTTGGAACCATAGCCGGTGTAGCCGCCAACTCTTCAGGTTGCCGTTGCACAGAAGCTCATTGAATCCGGCGCAAACATCAGGGTTGGAGCCTCAGAGTGTTTGTTGGAGCCTCGACGTGGCGTTGAAACGCTGAGGACGACTGGGTTGAAGGGTTTGCAATCAGGGAGACTCCCCCCTAGCGAAATTGGTTTTAGTGTACTATGTGCTTGTATGTACTTGTCACTTGTCCTGTTTCATCCTGAGATGGGAATTCAGGGGTCTCCCTATTCCAAGACAGCCATCAGTGGAAAAGACTTGAAAACTTGTAGGTTGGTCATCATCGCATCATGTGCTACAGAAAGCCTACGTATACCGCCTATGTGCATAACAAGCCGGTCAAAAAAGAAAGAGCATCAATGGGGAACATCAAGTGCACGCACAAAGGGCATCTGAAATGTGTCCTCCATTTCCGTATAGCATTTGGGGCAGGACCAACCAGAACGTGTGTGCGCAAGTTAGAAAAAGGTGATAAAGAGAGTGTCATGAGAGATAGAGCGAGCGAACGAAGCGTGTGAGACAGACAGCAAGACTGCAGTCAAGATTGCTAATCGATTCTTGCCGGCTGGACGAGGCCGTGGACAAAGAGGAGAAGACGCCAGCAATGCATGCCACGATCTATGACACAGCACCTCGCCTGATGTGGAGCATGTGCCTTTGGGGTGTTGGAGTCGTTTCGTTTGGTGGCCAACACCCGCAAGGGAATGCTGCCTGGGAGGTCCGCAACCATTTATAGATACAGTATACAGTATTGATATCATATCTAAACTGCTGCAGGGCTGAATGGTTGCATTGCTAGTCAAGTCCCCCTTTCAAGTCCTGACCATGTCAGTATACCCAAACAGGTACCGGGAAGATTGTTTCCGGAAGCTCGCGAACCGCCGCCGATCGCATCGTTCACAAAACCCGCCGCTGCTCTTTCTCAGGACAAGATGGGCCTGCAGCAGAAGAAGCAGAAGATTTTGGACATGCTACAGCTTCGAGAGAAGGAGCTGGAGCGGGAAGCCGAACGCGAAGCAGAACGCGAACTTGAGCGACAAGCACTGGAACGAGAAAGGCAACAAGAAGCAGAGCTTGAAGCTGAAAGTGAGGGGCAGATGACTCCAGTGGCCTGATCGGTCACAAACGAGCCTCAACACCATGTCAACGAAGGTCTCCTGTTTTTGACCCACAGCCAAATGTGAAAGGTCGCAAAGTTTGGAAGATGCGCATGAGAGCCCACACCCCAGGTTCTTCGCAGAGCTCATTTTCTTCTTCCCAGAAAGACCAAACAACACGATGACATTCAAATCATGATATTCATATTGGTCGACCCAAAGCTTTTGGGTGCGACGACCTATAGCGATCTTGAATGCTTGATAACAGCCAATGCAGCCATGCTCATCCAAACGTCCCAAGCACGAACCCGATGTTCTCTTTGAACCTGATGCATTGCAGGTACAGATTTTGGGTGACTCTGGACACACACCCGAAAAGGACCTGGAGTTGCTGGGCTGGGGCACGTTTGTACACTAGGCGCAGCAAGTGCCCACGGCAGCACATCCAGCACTGCTTGGACGCGTGCCATTTCATGGGCTGTGTTCCGGAGTTGTTGAAGATTAACCAGCGCCAGCCAATGGATACTTTCAAGTTTACTATCTATGTTGAAAGGAATTGAATTTAAGATCACTCCTGTAGAATGGATGTTGCTACCACTGCTACCATCGCTACCAGACAGCCCAACAGACACCATTCCATTCAACGTCACACGAGACGTCACCGGTGGACACCCCGTGTCCTGCCGGGCGTTTCCAAACAACGGTCAGACGGGAATTCATCCAAGATCGATGCAACGATGCGAATTCTGTGCCAGAACAGGTCAGCAAGTCTTATTGAAAAGTCTGTTGGTCAAGACTACGGGAACACAATACAACCTACTATTACTTAGTACTTACTACTTCAAGTATATATAATGGATATATGTATATATGTAATGTAGTATAGACTGAACAATTGGAATTTGTGTTGGTCTCCAACCTACTAGCAATGGCCTCCAACCTACTGGCAATACTTACACTGCCAGGGATTGGAGTCAGATGAATGTCAAACACTTCGCCAATTTTGCCACACAAATGCGCTGCATGGGGCCTGCGATGTTTGCTTGCAATGCGCTGCATGTGCTGCTGCTGATGGTTGACCAAAGGTCAAATATCAGCGCAATCAGCGTGGGGTCAAAAATGATGGGTCATCATATGTCATCATACACTCAACGAATCGTGTTTAGGATGTAGATGTGGCGAGGATCGTTTCGAACCGCTGGTTCAGTTCCTCAGAGGGGGTCGGTGGGGGACCTTTGGTTCAGCCTCGGATACCGTCCATTCTGAGAGCTTCTGATCTGGCCCAATCCGGACTGAGAGACAAAGCGAAAGCGCTCACCAACAAAAAGAACCTCTTCTAGAAATCGCCGCATCCTCCCCAAACCCTCTTCCGCCGATCCGAATCGGCTCGCAGCGCCGATCCGGTGGTCCGATCCGGTCAGTCTGGCAGCGCGGCCCGCTGGGAGCGGCCGGTGACACTGTGATTTTTGAATGCCAGGGTCCATGTGGGTTTTGGTCCCTGAAAAAAGGTATAAAAAGGTGAGGGACTCCATGGTGTATTCTTTGGATGAAGTTTGATGTTACTTTTGGCATGTTTCTGGGTTGTCTTGCTGGGCAGGCGCAACATATGGCAACATCTAATAGGCTGGGAAATCGTAACGTTTACTGGTCACATTCCTCCCATGTGTTCTCTGTGTTCTGTCACGCCCAAATCATTTTTCTCCTGCACCTGCAAAACCATGACATGAAATGTTTGACATGGGCAGGCTGCCCCTGCACAAGAAACATGTCATGTGGATCGGTATTCAAGGTTGAGACCGCGACATTCAAGAGAATCCTGCCTGCAGACATTCGAGCTGCAGTGGCCGCCAGAAACGCATGGAGATCAAACATGTAGAATGTGCAAGTGCTAGAATCGCAACATAAAGGCCGAATCCGGCGAAGCAGTTGGCAACGCGACTGGAGCAGCCCAATTCTTTCATGATGTTATTGAATCTGAATTGTGTTCAAGCTCCTTCCTTCCATGAGAACGCGAGTCATCAGGGAACCGTCAGACCCAGGGAGCGTCCCGTGAAAAGCCCTATCCCAACCACCGCTTCATGCAAGTCCAGGGACCACTGCGGGGCAATCTTTCTTCCGACCAAAAACGGACGGTCGGAGTGCGTCGCACCCCTCGTGACTCCAATCCAGAAACATCACAACTCTCGATGATTGATGAAGTTCTTACCCTAGAGTTGACAGTTTTGAGGTCTCCAGTAAACATGAGAAATCAAAGGACCAACTGGGGAAAAGTTAAAAACAATAAATAAATCAACAAACATGCAAACTAAATGGGGAAAACACCCTGCAGAAGACTGCTTGAAGAAGCCAAAGATCGATGATTCTTAGAGTTCTTTCATCAACCTGAACTGCTGATGAATCGCCTTTGCCCATCGGGCCCTTGGGCGATGGCCACAGACGAATGCCAGAGGCATGGCCTGCCTGTTTATTTTTCAGGCAGTTGGGGTTCTAGTCAGATGGGTTTCGCGCAAGCTACTGAACACATCTGAAAACCGCGGGATAGATGTCAAGGCCGCAAGGTTTCAAAGTGTACAAACATGAACACTTGCGCTTGCACAATCCACAATCGATTAAACCGCCCCAATTCGGGCCGAAGAGGGTTGCATCTTCAAGCCCACGGGAATGGTCGGGAGGCCCCACAACATCCCACCCGGTGGGTGCCAGTTGGCCACAGTTGTTGCGAAATCAAACATTGCAAGTTTGTGTTCATTGTTGATGTGTTGATTGTCCAGATTTCTTCGTGCTATTGATTCGGCGTTTGTTTGCACTGTTGGATTTCTGTGATTGGATCATTGGTTAGAGGCTCCTTGGTTTGCAGGCAGTACCTTTTCAACTTAACATCACCAAATGACCTCTATAAGTTCGATTGACTGCACGAACTACACAAGCGGAGAAGCTCATTTTAAAGCGGATGTCCATGACCACCTGCGGATCTGTGGAGCGTTCCATTGTCGGACAATAACGCCCACATTCCCAAAGGCCTCCTATGTGACATATATTGACATATTGATTTAGATGATCATAACATATTTATATATATATATATACCAGCACCATCCAAAGGGTGTCTATAAACCGCCCCTTAGCTATAGGGTCCATGGTAGGGTACCCTTAAGAATCATAGTTTTACATGGGCCTACATCTTCTACTAGCTTCTGGCCTCCAACCTACTCCTGCCCCCCGTGGAGCGCTCATAGGTGCTGTTAGGAGCTCCGCCCACATCGACCGCATCGACCGGGCCCCCGGAGCATGCGGAGCTGTATGTGGCCAAAGCTGTGCCCACCCAGGAGCCTGCGGTAGATGTTTGCAAGTCATGTCATATTCAATTTGTTTGGAGATGTGTTGATTCTACGTCCTTGGCACATGTTCCTTTTTCAGACTTGCGTGCACACAGCACTCGATGATACCATATCCAAGTCAAGTGGGCAACATCGAATGTTGGCTTACAATCATGTGTAACTGTCATGCGTATAAATACTGTTAGATATGCAGCTGCAGGTGCGACAAATGAATCCATTTGGCCAGCAAATTATACAAATCTGGAAAACTCCTGATCGTAGGCCATTTAGCTCTTGACTAGCCACGCAAACCATGAAAGTTCATGAACCGCCTTCAATGAATCCTTCAAGAAACGCTTGGCACCACCTGAAGAATTTTTTGGAAGAAGATGGCCTTGCTGAATTCTCGGAGTCCCGATTTGTTGTTCATGTTCTTAGTACCCAAAATAATGTATCCCAAGAATCAACTCTGCTAGTTCAGAAAGAAAACAATCATAAGAAATCCGGATTATTGAAAGTCGAACAGTGTGGATCTTTCTGGTCGAACATGCCAAACATCTTGCTAGTAGGTTGGAGGCCGTAGTAGGATGGAGGCCATCGCTACTAGGTTGGAGGCCATCGCTAGTCGGTTGGAGGCCATTGCTATCAGGTTTGGAGGCCATTTGCCAATGTTTTTTCTTGAATCTAACCAAAAGAGTTGCTACATGAACTCTTCGTGGATCTCTTCAGCACAGTACCCGACACGCAAGCCCACCCAGGAGCGGGTCGACCACGACCGGCTCTCGCTCCAGCGAGTTCAAGTCCGTCCGGAGCCGAGGTTGGAAGACGGAAAGATGTACTTATTTGTTGGCCACGGCGAAGTGCGCTTAACTATCCCTATGTCAAAATCTGGGTTTGGGTAGGTTGGGGAAGGTCTGGGTCAATGTATTTGTTTAGAGAAATGTATCCGGAGGCTGTAGGTGAAGGATTTGTGAACTCTGGGCCAGACATTGCGGTTACATTTTGCGGTTGTTAGGAGAAAAAGACACATAAGATACATGACCTGACGCATTTGGAACATGAAGATACACAACTTGGAACTCATCGCACTGTTCGTTTCGTTTCGTTTCGTTGAACTCTGCTGACTGACCATCGATCGAACGGATTCTTGGTGAGGCCAAATGAACAACCCATGAACAGAGGGCCTGTTTAGACTCCGTTCGTGGTCTCTCTGGTCTCGCTGTCCAGTAGGTGCCCACAAGAGGCGACCGTGGACACACTGGGGGTCTCCCCTCTCGCTTCTGAGCTGCCAAACCGCCGGAACGGTGTCGTTCCAAGGGAGACGCGATGATGGAGATGAATGTATTGCCCAGGGCCCCGGACTGCTCCGGAGTGGCCGGCCTGGAGACCCAGATGTCAAGACAATTAGCCAGAAGAACAAGGTGAACAAACAGCCAAGGAAGAAGAAGAAGAAGACAGGGACACTAAGAACAAAATTGTTTATACATATATATATATTATATAGAGAATTTTACAGGGCATCTATGACAATCAACGATGTGCTGCAAAATTGTATCTTGAAGTGGGATGACAGGCCAGGTCACCTGGTATAGTGCCAGTGAAAGCCCTTCACACATATGAACACATCAAACGCACATCACACAAAATAGCTGTATTTGTCTCACGTTTTCGCAGCGCCACAAAGCACTGGGCTTGGCCTGGGCCTTGCGTCTTCAGAATGGACCATCCTCTGATGACTGTACAATGATATCGATCATAAGACATGGGGGTGTTAAGTAGGTGACCCTGAGCCTTTGCCAAAATAAGGAAAAGATGCTAAAACCCATTAGGCACTACTGCTTTCATGGTGTTCTCGTTCTTTCCACATTTGGTGACGAGACCAAAGCTTGCATACAGCTAACTCGCTGACCATAGATAGCATAATGTCCTTTCTTCAATTTGCCCCTTGTCGCGGTGAGGCCAATGAACATCAAGCCCAACCTGCATTGGGCCTGGGTTTCATAGAGACCGCGACTGCAGGGCTGCAGAAGAGGATAGTTGTGCTTGGTTTGGGCCATCCAAGCCACAGGGAGGCAGGAAAGGATGCAGGAGGTATTGGCAGAGGACATGAAGGCGAAAAGCTTGGTCTTGACAGCTGGTCCAACTGTTCAACTGTTGTGAAGAGACATCAACAGACCTTTTTCAAGAACGGTCACTCCCCAAACCGTTGCATAGCTTCCTTGGTGCTTAGCTTGCGTAGCTTTGATTGATCCAGCGGTTGTGGGGTTGATTGAGTTGTTTCCTTCTTGCTGGGTCTTCAAGATGCTAAAGTTGTCGAGAACTTGAGCCTTTTTCCCACAGAAGGTCCGAAAAGAACCCGAGTCGATCTCTGTTTCCTTTGTCGGGCCAGGCGGCCTTGGGCTTCCGAACGCTGACCCTTCGTTGGAAGGGTGGTCGATGGGTGAGGTGATCCCAGCCGCGGATGGACATCCCAAGGATCCTAAGGCGGATGATCCTGGCCATCCGCCCAAGGGTGAATCACGAAGTGTTTGTTGGCTTGGGTGATCATCTGGATCTTGGCCTTTGCAGGTCATCAAGTCGCTGCCCAATGGCCTCATGGAGATCAGGCAGCAGCATGAGTGGATCATGTGTGGCTCCACATCGTGGCGGATCCACTCAAACCACCAAACCACCAAACTGACCTGGAGGGGTTGATTGATGCTTTAATGTTCTGTTGCCCAACGTCTGCGTAACAGGTGCCATTTCTTCGCTTCTCACAGTCTCAGCAAGACCCTTCATTCTTGGCTGAGAGCTTCAATGGGTGAGAACCTGGCAGTTTATATAAACATATCACTGTGACACTGATCATTGTTCAGCCCATGTGTTGTCCCCGGCCATGCTTCGGAATTCCTTTTGAGTTTCGAAGTGGTTCAGCACCTAGAAACACATGTGGTTCAGCAGTCCACAAGCCAAGGAGGGCCTTGCTTTTAACATGTTTTTAACATAACTTAACTATATAATTTTTTAATATATAGATCTCAACTTCAGTTAAGTGAGATCCATCCACCTGATGCCTTTGACCCAGACAGCTGGGTCCCTCTTTCGGTCCTAAAACCGCTCCATGTTTGGCTCACATTCTCGGACACCCCAAGCGGCAGCCGGTTCAGGACTCGCCGAAAGCTCAGACTCGTTCCATCCAGAAACCTCCGGTGAACCTATTTCTGGTCCGAAGTTCCATGGAATTTTCGAGGCTCCCCCCCGGTGGGGCGGTAGAGACCAGTTCGGCGGTCGAAGGGGGGAGGTCCAGTTCGACTTCATGTGTTTATGAAGAGACTTCCCGGGTGATCCGCTGGTTTCATCCGGTTTATCCTTCATGTTCCGAGGTAGATGGTGCTCCACCTGTCGGGTTCATTCTGGTTCTCCTTCTGGTCTTTTCCTCACACCGCATGTCCTCCATTTTGCTTCCAAAAAGCGACGACCCTGCAGCTCCAACCGACCGGAGTGTATGACCAGCTTCCGAAAAGCAACGAAAACCGCCACATGATCGACACCAAAACCAAACCGCCCACACGGCTGCAGGCCGGTGAAAGGCTGGTATGACCTCGCGTCGAGCAGCAACGACTCCGCGACGCGGCGGCCGACACGACTTCAGAACTCCATGGTTTGGGGGGCCCAGAAGATGGGCGGAGACCAGATGCGCCTTTAGCAAGGAAGAGAACAGACCGCGTTCTTGACCAAGCAGTTCTTGAAGGAAGGGAGTCTGCATTGTTGCATGATTTTTTCCGTTTTCCAGGGTTTGTGTTCGAGGTCGAGGTTCGTTTTTGGGGTGGTTGACTTTCTTCCTTTTAGAAAACAGTGCTTTAATCTTTTTGGGGGTGTCCCCTTAGTGCAAGAAATGTGGGGCCTATCAACTGCCAGGGTGGTGGGGAAGAATCCAATGCCGTGGGCCGATTCCCAGCAGATTTGCAGTGGATTGCTATCCTGGGTCCCGGGTTGTAGGACTGCTTGGTCAATATGTAAACTTGACGGGCCGTAGTTGAAACTGCAGATTCCCCCCCTTGACCAACGTTCAGATGTGGCCAGAAGCACTTAGGGGCCGCACGGTTGGGGCTCTCTGGCCTGGCTTTTGGTGGTCCTTGGCTGAGGCAGCCCAAGAGCTCCAGCAACAAGCACGTGACCGGAAGGTGGGCGAGCGAAAGCTCACTCTGACCTGTTGAAGGATTCCAAACTCCCAAGACCACCAATGTGTTCTCGTTCTTTTGCCGCTCGCATGGAAGCGGTTGTAGGAATGCCCCTATAGTCCCTATAGTGACACCCATTCCTTTGATCCAATGTGCCAAGGTCCACTTGCTTTGGTTTTGGAGTGCCAGTCTATCATTCCCACATTCCTAAAGTAAGTGCCCATGTGGACAAGGTCAGGAAAACAGCCAGCGACGTGCAAATCAAATGGAATCACTTTGCCCCAGATCTTGTTTTCAAGTTTAGACGGTTGCTCATACGGTGAAGATTCTTTTTTGTATAAGTATAGCTGCCCGCGGATTGATTGGTAGCCTTATGTTTTCGCTGGTCTATCTTGTCATCGTCTTCACAACATTGTCATGGATTACACAGCATTGTCATCACAAAGCCGTGTGACTCAAATGTGGGGGGCGTCAGGCGACCCGTGCGCCTGTGATAGATAGTAGTTGGTTTCCACGCTGTTTGAGGTTCTACTCGCCAGATGATTTGGTAAAGGTGCGATGGATGGATCATCCTCTTTTTGGAGCTTCAAGATTGTATTCTGCAAGCCCTACCCTCTGGCTTCAACAGATCTTAGACAACAAGACATGGACAGCGCGACCTGGAACATCCTGGAACTTACAACAAGTGATTGGACCGGCCGTCGCCTAAAGGAAGTTGTATTGTATATATTTGTATATATTTGTATATCATTCACAATATGATGGAGTGGAAATTGAACTGAAAACGAATGAAAGCAACTTCTTTGTGGAGGAAACCACCGGTTTTCCAAGGATTTGGTTTGTCCACCGTCTTCTTCCGCCCTTCGTCGGGGACAGGGGCCGAACCAACAGTCGCGAAGAAGCGACTGAGACCGGAGAGCGGCTGAAACACAAAGTATGGGCTGAAACAACGGTGTCTGTTTTTTTCAGAAAGTTCCTATAGTTCCTACGGTACAAGTCTCTTAGAAGGGGAGGAAATCCCCTACTCAGGGGCAGGGGATCTATAAAATCATGCGGGGCGGCAAAAGGAAGAGCTAGCGCTTTGCTTCCGAGACTCCTTCCCATGCGATGGGTGGGAACACTGCGGCCGCCTGAAATCAGGAGACGTCTGATCGTTGGGATGCCATGAACAAGCGCCGGCAACAGCGGGGTGAGGTGGGCACCGACATGTGTCGTTCACGAAGAGGGACCAAGGAAGGAGAAGCTTCGACCGATGCAAGGCACGGATTCCAATGGGATTCCAATGGATTCCAAGCCACTTGACATTCCAAGCCACTTCTGGACGGGGGTCATTTCAGTCCCTTTGGCCCAAGAATGTCGACTCTTTGATGATTCAAAAGCAGAAGAGGTTCGTCCAATCGATGAGGGTTTTATTCATCAAGAGTCTACATCAGGGTAAACATTGGTAAACTATACCAGGACCCTCCAACAGGCTGTTTGGAGACCCTAACAGGTGGTTTTTGGACACGTGTTGTCACCAGGAAACACCTGTTGGAGGGTGCTGGTATATGCGTTTGTTGTTGGGTTGTTCACCTGTTAGGGGTGTCTATTTCCACCATGCGCCACCATCGCCTTCTAGGTGAAGTTGCAAAAGACGATCGATGGGTCTGAAGACAAGGAGTGGGAGACAATGAGTGGAGTTCGCTGGTTAAAGTTGAAAGTATATACTATCATCATACCAATGTCCTAACCAACATGTTGAATATAGGTTGCCCAATGCAACAGGTTCCTGTTCAGAGGAACACAGCAGGCATTTCAGACTTGTCAGATTGACATGGCCTTGACAGTCAGATTGCATGTGTAGGGAAAGGGCAGAGGAAAGACCTCTAGCTTGGGCGTTCCATCCATGGCCAATCTTGTTAAACTCAAGGAGTTGGGAAACAGTGAGTTGAAAAATGGGCAGATTGAAGTCTGCGAGCTTATTACCACAGCTTGACATCACCGGATTCAGCTGAACTTCGAACTTCCACAAATGCAGAATCTTGCCTTTTGTTGGTGTTTTCAAACATTGATGGTTTTTCTCCAAGTATTCATCAAAACTAACACTGTAGGAGTCAAGAGGGAAATGAAACCATCAACCAGCCTTTCAGCATAGTTGAGCCCACTTCGGCTTCGTGAAGCCTGCGGCCAAGATGACAACCTTTAGAATTTGTGAAAACCACAGCACGCCGGTGTAGACTGAACGGCCATGTTTTTTTGCATCATCTCCAAGAAGATATCCCCTCCGTGGACGCGCCAATGACCGCTCTCGTGCTCAAGCGTCCTTTCGTCCAGGCTGCTCCAGTGCTTTTCGCAGAGGTCGGGTTTTAACCGAGTTGATGTTGCAAAAACAGTGCAACTGGCGTGTAGTTTTTGCCGTAGAAAGAAAGGCACCATACCTAGACGCAGAAATTTTGCCCCAGGCGCAGTATGGCGCAGTTGTGCCATCGAGCTTCCACAGATCTCTCACCCAGTGCCTGTTTGAAGCAATGTGTTGCTGGTTTTGGCAGAAAGGACGCAAGCAAAGCAGATGCGCTTGCCGTGGAGCAGCAAGCAGAGAAACGACGGAAGGCTCTCCACAGACAGCTGAGAGATGCTGAGAGTGTTTCACAATACAAATAAGAAGGAGGGTATGGTTTGGAGGAGATTATTTATTAGCAGATCAATGGAAAGCGGTGTCCCAATGGAGTTCAGATAGAACTGGTAACCACTACTGTATAAATCTACTATATATATTATAGGAGAGAACTAGATGACTGCATGGAAACGGGCAGTGCAGGTTGTCAGGATATGGCCGACCACCACCCACCAACTTGAAAACAAGCTGCTTTTTGATATATGTGACGATTTCCATGTGTTTTGGATATGTGTTGATGAGAACCAGCTGAAGAGAAACCTCCCATTGAGGGAACCTTACTTTCAGTGCGAAAGCCAACACCGATCAGTTCGGAACCGTCGATGCGATGGGCCGAAGACGTCGTTGTTCCGTTCTTCTTCGCCCGAGCCGAGCCGAGCGAGCCCACGGTTGCATCCCTGCTTCGTTCGTTCGCGTGTGCCTGTGGTCCAAACCGGACGACGAACCCAAACCCCCAGCAAGAACCAGGGCCCCTGGAAATCGAGGACTCATGAAACACACCCAGCCTGTTTGACCCCACCACATCGGCCAGAACGGCCATCACCGATCACCGAGAACGACGTCCCCTTCGGTCCACCGAGTCGTCTTCACGTCGCGGTGTCCACGTGTCAGACGACTTGAATGCTATGGAGCTATAGTAGCGTTCTTGTTACTATACTAGCGATGCCAGGAGCTACTAGTAGCGTCCGATCTCCTAGTATGGTCAGGAGCCCCGTTCGTAGCTTCTTGTTCCTAGTAGCGATGCCAGGAGTCTTCAGATCGCTTGGATGCCATGGACCAGCGGCTGACCGCGCAGCGGGCGCAGGCGCGGCGCGCGCGGCTTTGGCCGCATGCGGAACTGCGGGGGGGCGTTCGGACATGCTGGGACCGTGTGTCAAATCGACCGTGTGGAAGATGTGAGTCGGATGGGGTCGATCTCCTGGCTGGTGGTGTCAAACATTGATGTATTTTTCTCATTTTTTCTCCAAGTATTCATGAAAATTATTTAACTATTCAAAACTAACATTTTTTCAGGAAGGGAAATGAAACCACCAACCAGCCTTTCAGCGTTGAGCCAACTTTCACTTCGCGAAGTCTGCCACCATGACAACCCTTGATGCAGAATTGGTGAAACCACAACGCACCAGTGTAGACTGAACGGACTAAACGCACAGTTTTTTGCATCATTTCCAAGAGGAGGAAGGCCCAGTGGAAGGCCCTCTTCGTCAGGCAGGTGCTTCAGTGCTTTTCCCTGATGTCAGCTACTCAGAGCCAAGTCGTTCTGATCCTTTTGAGCCAGCGATTGGGCGCTTCGTTTTCCGCGTGCTTCGTCGGATGACTTTGTGGGTGCCTGGATGGTGCAAAGAAGCAAGATCTTGGTTGACTAACCGGGGTCCTTGAAAGGCACATGGGATATTGTTATATACTGGTGTAGCACACAGTAATTGGGGACTTGAACACACGCTACCGCGTCAGAAGATGCACTTCTATTAATCTTATAATTAGTATATTGGCAGAGTATACTTGTTTAATCCAAGATACTGAGCTGCAGCCAGTAATCTCACCACGTACTCGTGTATCCAGCAAGGACACAGACCAAGCAGATGAGAGCGGCTTCGAGCGGCAAGCTGAGAAGCGCCGGAAGGCACCCGACGAGTGGAGGAACTTCTTCCCCCATCCCTGGCCCACCCCTTTTCCAAGAAGAAGAAAAAAGAAGAAGTAAGTATGCTAAGAGAGACCAACCAAAAAATTGCACCAAGTGCAAGTCGCATGTTGAGTTGCCTTTAAAACCTTTGACACTGTCAATCAGAAGCGGTGTATTTGTTCTTCGCGTTCTTCATGTCGCCAGGTTTTACAGAAGTTGCAAAAGGAGCAAGAGGATGGTGCGGAAGAAAAGGCTGCATTGGTAGAAGCATTTCCAATTCCGCTGGGACATCAAGGACTAGGACAAGAAAGTGCACTCTCTAAGGCTCAGACATTCATGAACATTCATGAAACGTTGGAAGAGCTGGCGGAAATTCACACCTGAATTTGCCAGTGAATGGGGTCCGGGTCCTATGAATTGGATGTGTATTAGACTAGGAAGGCCTTCCTGGCCAATGGATGTACTTGCACTTGCTGTCGCTGACTTGACGAAACATAGGAGACAAAGTGCCAGTGGTCCAAGCTATCAACTGTGCCAAATCATGTAATTAGAAGGTATGAACGAAAAAATAGCTGAGACAATCAGAAGCAGGATGAGACAAAAGCCCTCCATCTACTTTTTCACAAATACATCGTCTATCATAATATGAACCAATCCGAAAACATAACCCGTCTCCCGTTGTTGAATCTCCCCACATTTTATCTACTCCAGGATGACTCATTATATCCATCCTCCAATCTTCCCTGGCGTCCTCCATGACTCCCCATGGCCCTCCACCCCGATCAGATCAACCGATGAGAGGCGGTGCCGGATGTCGCCAGCACCTTGCTGGAGCTCAAGCGCCAGCATGGGGAGGCGGAAGTTCGTTCCGCATGATCGTCCAAGTGCGGCGAAACGGTCGGGACGAGCCGATGTTCCATCGATTATCCCACCAGGCAAAGGTACAAACTGGATTGGTGCTGCTTGCGTGTGAACATCGATACCCCCCTAAACTTGATCGACTGTTCTGCACACAGCCTTGTGACCATGGAAGGGAAGTGCATCAAACAAAAGCGTCGGCCTTGACCGGCCGAAAGCGTCAAAATAGAAAAGCATCCACCAGGATATGGCAGTTCCTTCGATTTCTGTTCATATCTTGGGGTGCTGATGATGCGGATGCCATGATCAGTCCTGAGTTGCCACATTACATCAAAAGAAAGGCCCAGGGAGCGGCTTTACTCTCAACGATTCTGTTATCTTGCCAACCTGCTCACACCCACCTGTCCTAGGCCGCGTGGGACTTCTGTGATGAGGAACAGTTCTCTGACGACGAGGAGAAGGCGCTGCTGCACAGATGGGGTAAACTGGCACAGCTGCACAGATGCTTGCGGATTCCACAGTCAGTTGAGTTATTCTCATCTCAGCAAACTCTCCTAGTCCATCCTGCTTACCTTCCATTGTGCTGTTGGATTCAGGATGACTCTTGCTGTAATAGATTTGGATGTCTACTATCCTCTTTAATCACATAGCTCTGAACTTTTGTCAAATGGCATAAAATGGTTCTGAAAATGGTTTCTTCAAGGCCTATAATAGTCCTGAACAATGTTGAAACAGTCCTGAACAATTCGGAAATAGCCAAACAATTTGAAACAATCCTGAACAATTTTGAAATAACCAACAAGCTTGAAATAGTTCTGAATAGTCCTGAACATTTTCAATTAGCTTTGAAACCGAGATCTCAAACAAAGACGAAAGGCGACCTCTCAAGTTATATATAATCCAACCAAGCAGAACAACGCCCAAAAACGGATGAATAGAAGCTTTATCCACAATGTTTTTTTCACGAGGGCCATTTTTGCGCCCGGGTGGATCAGTTTCTCAGAACGACACCACCAGTTTCTCAGCATTCATCGCACGACTCGTCCAACAGCGGTCATATGTTTTTCTCCTTTCGTCGAATCGTCGACTGCAGGACCGCTCAGAGAGCAGCGGTCGTTGCATGGGTGTTGGGCCGTTTTCTTGAAGCCCTGACCTTGGCCATCCACTCGTAATTAAGACTATTGGAGTAGTGCTGGGATTTTGTGGATATGATCAAGGATTCAAACTCGACCAACCCTTGGATGACCGTCTGACCATAATATGAAGAATGCACAACAAGAAGAAGACAAGCAAGCAGGAAAACAAAGAACCTGCCAGGATGAAGAAATCGACGGAGATTTTTGCGCTAGGCTGGCGCTAGATCCGCGCTAGCACCGCGCTAGACGACGGTCCATTTCTTGACCATCTGCCCATCCAACACCTGAATTTTTTGAGTCAGCTCTTACGTCCTTCCTATGTCGTTCTGAAAACTTCCGAGAATTGGAAACAACTGCAGAAGTCTAGCAGCAGCAGTAGCAGCGACAACAACAACAGCTCCAGCAGCTCAACAGGCCCTTGAAGAGGTCCGCGCTAGACACCTCTCACAACTTTTGCCGTTGACATGCCTTCATATTGAACATCCCTGTGGTTTGAGTGTGGTGTGGGTTTAAAGGAGATTTAGAAGCGGGCCCCCATGGAATTGCGATGAGTGCACCATTTTGGGAAAAGAATGGAAAATACATTTTGGAAACCAACCATATGCCATTGGCTTTGGGCACCGGGCAGGTTGACGACCCAAGTGAGAAGCAACCATCAGTGACCTCTTCGTATCACCTCTTGCTTTACCTCTGAACATGAAAATCGCTTCGGTTGCGTCTCTTGCACACCAGGATGAGGAGAACATTGAAGATGCTGCAGCACAGGAGGACGCGACATGCATGACATCATCAAGCTTTTGAAAGAACATGTCCATGTCAACTGGTGTCTTTCTTATCTAGCCTATGCAGGGTTCAGTCAATTGATTTTGGGTGCAATTTTTAAGCTTATATATGATATAAAAATATATATATAACAAATTCATTGGAGAGAGCCTGTTTTCAAAGTTTTTTCTTTTTTAGGTCAATCTCAAAAGTCAAATCAGAAATTTCCAAAAGTCAAAAGAAAAGTCAAAATGTCCAGATCCGACCTTTTTTTGCTGTGTTTTCGACTTTTTTGGACAGTTTTTTGACTTGTTTGTATTTTTTCTCGTGGTTTTTCGGCGTTTTTTTCGGATTTTTTGGAGTGATTGACTGTTTGTTTGATGTTTTTCGAGTCTTTTTGAATGTTTGTTTGACGTTATTTTTCAACGTGTTTGACATTTGCTCGACTTTTTTGACATGTGTTTGACTTGTCTTTGATTTTTTCGAGCTGTGGTCTATGTTTGACTGTTTTTGACTGTTCAATTAATTTTTGTTTTTGACTTTGACGTGTCCATTTGACATTTTTTTGACTTTTTTTATTTTTCTTTAATCAAGGATTCTGGCCTTACCATATGAAATATTTTTATAAGTTTAAGCCTCACACATTTCAGGGGATATCAAGCGTCGGGTCTTGTCATGTTGACTCTATGTGCCTCAACAGATACGGGAGGCCTTGCGCTACACTTCCAAAATCATCCGAAGGTCTTGAAAACTGTGTTTCGCAAGACGACTGAGCCAAGATGGACATTGGGAGAGAGTTCTACATGGTATATTGACCCATACTGACCACGTGGTGACGAAGAAACTAGCTCCATCCCAGGAGGAAGCGTTGCCATCGGGAGACGAAGAAGATGAAGAGACCAAACCAGAAGCCACGTTGTCCTACACCCCAGACCGAGAGATGCGGAGACAAAGCGGCGTTTTGGGATGTCTCCTGCATGGGTTTGTCCGTAGGACGTACCTGCAACAGTCAGTAAACCCAATATATCACATTGAACAAGGCCTGCCACCCAACCATCATCAAAACGCACTCTAAATAAGGTGGAAAGCGGAAAAATAATCCACTGTTACTGGTAATAGGATAGACATGCATGCACCATGATAGACCAATGTATCCTGGGAGCATGGGAGGTTCTGGGTCTACGACGGTCTACGTGAAAAAGAACACATGATTGTTCACTTACCTTGCTTTCGTGCTTTCATGGATGATACGATATTGCCAGGAGGAGGTGAAGACTGTAAGTTGCAGCAGCCTATTTTGGGGGGTTGATTGTATTCTGTTGGCCGTGTCAAGTCATTGTGGCAATTACATGCAATTACATCTTGGTAGTGAGTAGCAAGTGTTCCTTTGCTGGTGTTTGACAAAGGTGGTCCTTCGGTTTTCTGCTTTCTGCCCATGGTTTTCTATGGTTTTCTTTATGTTCGTTGTCGCGGTCGTGGTAGGTGGCCTACAGTACCTCGAAGGCTTCCGTTTGCCCACGGCTGGAATTAATTGGCCAGCACAACTTGCAGACAGAGAAACAGCATCCTTTGCACCAGGATGGTTGAAGTGCTTTCAGTGTGGTTTTTCATTCTCTAGCGCTCCAAGATCCTTGGCTGTCCTCAAGAACACATCATTGCAGGTGTGAGTTTGTCTCAAGATTGGAGAACCAGCCAACCAGCGGGATCCAGCGGGTCAGGTTTCCGGTACTAAACTGCTCGAACAGCCCCCACACCCCGGTCTTTTGGTCTTCCTTGTCTTTTTAGGGTTGAGTGATTTGGTCAAAAGGATCAACACCGAACAGTACACCCTTTGCAGAGCAATTCGACCCCCACCGTCCGGTCGTCCTTATTTCCTGTCCTTCAGTTGATCTCCAGCCGAGGTTTCGGTTGTTCAATCCCAAGTAATGTTTATTCTCACTCACCCAAGTCGAGTCTGGCTAGGAAAGGGTAGACCATGGTAGGCCATTGATTGGCGGCCCGGATCCCTCAAAAGTCCCAGGAAATTACAGTGGTTTCAGAGTACATGGCACAGACCCCAAGATGTCCGTTAAAGGGTTCCACGTAAACCACCTAACTTGGGGATTGTGCCATCTACTCTGAAAACACTGTAATTAGAGCTATTTATGTTGGTGATCGGTTCCGATCAGAATCTCGGGGGTCAGGTCAGGCGTGGGCGAGGAGCTTCAGGCGAGCTGGGTCTTGTTGAGTCTTGTTCTGATATGAAAGGCTGTCCAAACTACGTACATCAAGCTGCAGAGATGCCCAAACAAACTACTTAAACATACTTAAACAGATCAATGCATTGACACTGAACACTTATCTTCTGAGATGTTTCTACTGGAGCTAGAGTTCAATATACAGTATGAAGGGTGCAGTGTAGATGAATGAATGGTTTGATGCGCACGCATGGGAGTGGACGGTTTCTTCTCTACAATTATTGTGCAGAAGATCAGAAGGGTCCACTTTCATGTTGATGGTTCAAAGCTGGTGGGTCAAGCGGTCAAATTCATACCGTTCTTTTATCTTATTTTTGTGAAGATCCATGAAATTAACCTGTGCCATGTGAACTACGGTGGTATCACTACCGCACTACCGGCCCCAGGTCCTCTTGAAGTGCGATCCGGATGCTGCGCGGAGACCTGGGAGTGGGAGAAGCACTGCTTACACTCTGGAAGACTAACATGGAACCTGAAAACCCCTGGTTGGTAGAGGAAAGTAGTCTTCCATGGGACCATTGTCAGGGTCTATGTTAGTTTTCGGGAGTGTAATCATCTTGAAACCTGCGCTCGGGAATCATGAGGATAGAAAGCCATTCGACTCAGTTCTTTTTGACTCCCCTCATCACTGAAAAAGCCTGTACGTCCTGTCGTCCCTTCTTCGAGCCTTGCGGCCACATGTGCTTGTCTCAGCACTGAGGAATCCCCTCAGCACTTGGAGGAAGAGCTCCCAGAGGCGAAGGGCCAATGGCTGGACGTTGCAGGGCGATGGCGAAGTTTCGGGTCAAAGCGATCTTTCTCAAAAAAGAACACGACGGACCAAGAAAGAGCCGACTCATGAATGGATGTATCCAAACGTATCGCTGTCACGTATCCCGGACTTGCCGGACTTGCCAGACAAAAGGATGGCCGAACGGCTGTTCGAACAGCGAGCTCAGAGGCTTTTCCTGGACCCATATTGCAACGATGTTTTAAGGCTCCCTCTTGAGGTCAAGAATATCATTTCACGAGTTGCCGATGCGAATGCCCCGGTGAAGATCATTCCAACCGCCTCCAGTGGAGATGCGGCGCATGTGGCTATGCCTCAAGACCATGGGGTTGGATAAGAAACCATTAAAGAACATTGAAACCGATCCAATCTTGTGCGATATCCTGGGTTCTGACTCAAGGAAGTCCTACTAGGAAGGCCCCCCATGGCCCCCCCATGGCCGTTCCCAGCGGGCCTTGAGAACTGTCCAATGCAGGCAGGATCTCCTGATCAGGTCTGCCGCTGGGATATCGTGTGACCAAATGTTCTCGGCCGCGGGAAGGGCAAAGCATGCTTCCAAGTATAGTTTTGATGGATTGAAGGGTTTTCAACCCCTAGATCTGAGTCTTGCTCACTTGCATGCTCGACTCCTTGGTCAGTAGCTTGGTGTGATGGGTTGCTCAATGACTATACCAACATTGGAACGAACATGGCATGCACCATCATGCACCTAGTAGCAGAAGAATAATTTTCCGCTGTGGCTAGCGATGCTCACCCCACCCCTATTTGGCTTCAAATTAACGACATGCTGCATTCTGTAGCATGTTGGCTCTCAGGCCCTTTGCAGGTATGCCTACTGGGCATATGTGCTTTTCATAGGATGAACTGTGTAAAAGCCATGCCATTCAGCTTCGGCTTCTCTTTCACCTACTTCTTCCTGCAGGCAGCTCCTTTTCGCACAAGATGGTAAGCAAAGAGGCGGCGTACGACGCAGCGTTTGTTCTGCCTCCCACACAAGGTGTTGTGTTTTGCTTTGGTTTATCACAGTTCCCTGGTGCGAGAACTTGAGACAGAGACCAAACTGTATGATTGTCTGACACAACCTCAGTTGGTGGTGTGCTGAACAGCACTGCACCAAAAAAGTCAACAGAATCGGTCATCAACCTGTTGGTTCCTTTGCCCCGGAGTAGAGTTCCTTTGCCGACGCCACCCCTTTTGCGGTATAGACATACCATTAGGAAAAAAGAAACGAAAAAACTACCAAAAGGCCCTTCCAACGCGGTGCCTGGACCTCTTGGTCCGCCCTCGTCACGCATCTCTTCCGGTCTCCTCGAGGCGACGGCTCAAGAGGTGAGGCAGGCAGAGCTCACCGTGGGCGGCTCCGTGCGTCGCTCGGCGGGGGAAAGGCCACAGGGGCCTAGGAAAGGCCAAGCACTGAGACTGATGCGATGCAAAAAGGGCAAACATCACGAAAGGTCAAGTTGCGTTTGAGATGGATTTGTCCATGTTCAACTGAAACACTGTGGGATTTGGTTGTCGGATGTGGTCGGCAGATGTCAAATTGCATGTGTTCCGCAATGTAGCCCTGGGATGTCCTGGGTAGATAGAGTATGATAGAGTCAGATAGAGGCTGTTAGAGAGAATTGACGCAAACGACTCAAGAGTTGACAGGGACCAAGGCGTTTGATACTGCTTTCCGTATCGTTTTCAGGTCTGGGTGGTCTTACAAGACCTCTCTATCTGGGTGGTCAAACATCTCCATGGGATCAGGGCACCACATGGGTCATGATATCCCTGGTTTTGCTTAAGGTGATTAAGTCTCTGTTCCATATGGTCATAAATATGAATCCCCTTCTGGGTTGCATTACCTACCAAAAGTCTCACCAATCTACAATATTACTTACTGTAGTTGTTCGATCTGGACCATGTTTTAGACGTTCATTTCTTCTTTGTGGCGCTGAGTGAAAAACATGTGTTTTCCGTGATCTTCCGAAGTCCTGAGATCTGTGGGTTGTGTCTTCTTTGTGAGGTTTGGCTTTGGCTGCTGACCTTGAACATATATAGCTGTTATCAGCCATGTGCTGAGCTCCCGAAACACTTGAACATATTTGTATCTACGGTATGCAGGCATCAACAAGGGCCTCCAATGGTATTGTCGCTTGCTTGAGACCCTGTTGAGAACAAGCAGTTCTCAAGCATTTCTGCATAGTACTTTGTTTGCACTTCAACAGGAGCCAACACCAGTGGTTGGCCAAAGCTTGGATGACCACCAGTCAGGACCTGTCAAATCAATTCAACTCTGATGTTCTGACCGTGAGGACTACTCCCTGCTGAAGAGCTGGACCTTCCGGACAATCCTCCATACCTCCGACGCGAGATGCTCTCCCGTGTCCACCCACACCGCCCGGACGGTCGCAGCTCGTGGCTAGAAAGCTCACCGGAAGAGGCCAGGACCGGCGGCGCGGCTTTTTGTTCACGAACCCAACTTGAGAGGACTGCCACATCACAGGAATGGACAGGGATTGGGAGGCTGTGATTGGGATGGATTGGGATGGTGCAGTCGCCTTTGAGCACAGGAAGCTCAGAAAGCGGAGGAGGCCACTCAGAATGCGACCACTGTGATGCCTGGCAGTATAGGGTGGCACATGTTTTCCACCAAATGCCAAGGGAAAACCTCAATTGGTCGGGAGAAAAGGGACTTACACTCTGACTCACTAACATGGAAGTGGAAAATGGCCCCTGTAAAGATCATTTTCCTCTACAAACAGGTGGTTTTCCATTTCCATGTTAGTGAGTCGGAGTGTACTGTACTCCTCTAGAAATATCTGCAGAAGAGCTTTATGACTATGAATGGGTGATTACGCATGTTTCAGTCCAGTTGCCTGTGTGGGGAGTGTTTTTTTCATGGTGTGACCGTTTGTATACTGTGTGGACCGTTGGTCCTACTAAGTGTGTTTGCTCCAACTCTGGTGCTCGGCACCTCTTGATGGCAAGAGCTCGTTCAACGGCCCAACACCGGTCGCGTTCAGGACAAGGCCGTTCACCGCGAACGTGAGCGTGAGCAACGTGACCCTGCTGGAAGGTCCTGCAGGGCGTCCAGGTTTGGTGGTGGCTGGGATGCCTGGTGTTGCTTCAGGTGACTGTTTTATTTTCCCTTATGAATGGTTAACATCATGTTAAACCCCCAAACTTGGGGGAACCTGGTTGGATTTCTTCCCCTTCAGCTTCCTCCTCCAAGGATGTATGGCCCTGCAGGGCCCGAGGGAATGCGAGGTGCCACTGGACCTGCGGGTCCCGTTGGGCCCACTGGACCTGCTGGCGCCTCGGTGATTGGCAAGCCGGGCAGCCAAGGGATGCCAGGCACGCGCGGCACGCGTGCGGTGACACGACGTGTGGGGTTGGTGGGGTGAATCACGGCTTGCGCAGGGCAGATGTTTTTGATGGGAAGAGATCCTGATTGGTGCTTTTGTACAGATCTTTCTTTGGGATTCAATTAGATCCCCGCCTTTGTGTTTGTTCCCAGTAATCCACAAATATGTAGAAACGGCTAGAAACTATGGTTTCCCGTATGCCGGAGAGACCTTGCCAGGTGTGAAGTGGTTTCAAGGGTGACCTTGACTTGACTGTACATGCTCGATCGAGTGTGGAGGGAAGGCACGATCGAGTGTGGATCACGCCAGGACCAGCTGGGAAGATGGGGAAGACAGGCAAGACAGGTGCCCAAGGACATGCAGGCGTGCAAGGCAGTCCAGGCAGACCACCTGAGGATTTCTACAAATGGTCCAAACTCCTGGCATACTACACCCAGGCGGGCCGGGCTCGAGATTGCTAGCTAGTTGGGATGGGGATGGCAGGAATGAGTCAAACTCCTCCGATCTGTCCCTGACAGGTGGTATCAAAGATGCAGGAAGCAGCTGGCAAGCATGTGCGAGGCACGAACTTTGATGTTTGATTCTTTATCCCGAGAACAGTTGCACTGTTGCACTGTTGCACTGCAGTGTTATAATGGGACTGGTTGCTCAAACTCATGCAGGTATAGTTCCCTAGAAATAAGGCTGTTTCACGCATTCTTGAGCAAAAACAAAACACTCAAGTTTGGCTTTTGATGGACTCCCGACCCAGACAGACCGGTGTGCGACTGCATGACCGGTGTGCGACAGCATGCCCTGTGAAATGCGAACGTGTGGACTGATCCACCTCCATCGAGGATTGGGCACAGCCTATGTCAGATGATGAAATCTTGGATAGTGCGTTTAATGTTTTACTGCACTGCATGTTCATGTGAAAGATCCTCAGAGTTTCACCGGAAAGGGGCCGGGGGAAAAACGGTACATATATATATATATCACTCTGTCGTGTGGAAGAATGTAGTGCTGAACTTGATGCATGACTTATGTCGGATGCGCTGGGGTTCACCCATGGGTGAAGCATTGGTGACCTGTGTTCCGTTTGCGCAGCGGCTTGAGCCGGATGGGGCGGCTGAACCCCATGCTGCTGCGCAGGCTTCAATCGCGAAGTCTCCATGCTGCAGCAGCAAAGCGCCATCTACCAAGCTCGATCCTTCGCTTTGAACAATGGTTCAGTGGATTTGCACCGCTACATGGTAGACACTTGCCTGCACGGCTACATGGCCGATGTCAAACTGGTTTCAACCAAGAGAGGGCTGCTCAATGACCTAGACTTGTCATAACAACACTTGGCTGCAAGAACATGTTTTTGTGATTTTTACTTTGACCTTTGGCGTGGAAGTAGAGATTGGATACTAGCATTCTCATGTGTGTTTTTGGGACTGACCGCTTGTTTGAAGGTTCCCTTGGGGAGGGAATGGAAGTATGTTGGCAAGGAACTCAGTGTCTTGATCATTCAAAGATTCACTCAGGGGAAAAAATGTATTAAAGATGTTGACCGGCAGCTCCTGCCATTTGGTGCCCCGGTCAAGAGAACACATCATCGGTTTGCTGTTGGGCGGCCCATTCCTCACTTGGAGGACCACACCACTTCTCACAGTCCCACCGGGCAGAACGGGTGAGATCAGCGTTACGAGATCGCGTTGCGAGATGTCCTGAAAACATCCCAAAAAGGACAGATGGTCCAGGAATGACCGTTCAGGTTCCGGTCCAGCCTCGCTTTCCCCCCCCGCGACACACGCGCGTTTTTCGCGCGCGAAACGGGCAGCCACTGGTGGGGGGTGTACTCTCAGTGCTTCTCGGACAGGAGAACTACAAGCGGATGGTGAAGTCGGCAAGTTCAGCGGAGGAGGTGGATCAGTATTTGGCGAGGCGGGTGAAAAACAACTCCCCTTCGCGCCGGGTTCATGCCGAGCGCGTGTTGGTTTCATGACGCGGGTTCGGTACGGGT